GAATGAACCTGTTAAAGTCAGCAGGAGGCAATTTACTCACAGGTAGAGTCTTAAACCTGAAGAAGCTTATGCCTGCTGACAATCAGTATTACTAGAAAATCAAATTTGTTAGCTGAATATAAATCTCCAGCAACTAAACACAAAGGAGAATACAGCTGACTATATAAATCAAAGACTGAATTTGCGACAAGTATTATTAGCCGAGATGGTTTCTATGGGCCTCAGTGGGATAATCAGTTGCCAGTAGCCTAAACAGCTACACGTCACAGCAACCAATGCCACTGATCCCACTGCAATCTCGGAATCATACTTGACTAGTAAATGTTCACATTCAGTCCTCTAAGCAAATTAAAATACAATAAAGCTAGAAAACCTAGCATCACGGGAGTTAGCAGGAAAATGAAATCACCAAGAGACTTCCAACACCTGCAACTCCTATAGGGGCATCAGTCCTGAACAAATTGATACATAAAGGTGCCAGTCAACAATAATAGTAAAACTCCTTACGTAGGTAGGCGTTAGGAAAATTAACTCGGGTCAGCAGAGTACAAACTGAGGTCTGTACTCAGTAAAGAAAATGCAGCTGCCTATGTCAACAGAGGCTGATCTTAATATCATAATTTAAAGTTGAAGGTGAGCTCATGAGTCTTCAGTGGCAAACTAGTTTACAGTAGCCTAAACAGCTACAAGTCACAACAACCAATGCCGCTGATCCCACTGCAGTCTCAGAGCCATCCTTGATTTTAATGACTGAACACACTCAGTACTCTGAGTTGAATAAAACTTAATTAGGTTAGAAACTTGGTATCACCATGGGGCAAACAACCCCTACAATAATTTCCACCAAAACCCTGGTGACATTGTTTGATGGACAGTGATGGACCACACTCAGAGTGGCCTATAGGTCGTATAGTTTCTGTTCATCCAGACAACCAGGGTATCTAGTGAAAAGTGAAAGTAAAGTGCCGAGGCACGACTACTCTCAAAACCTTAGAGAAACTAGTTCCTTTAGAGCTAGCACAAAAAGAAGTCACTCGGACTTCCAACACCTGCAGTTCCAGTATGGGACATCTGTCCAGAAAGGACTGCTGCACAACAATGCAAATTAAAATTAAAACTATATTATAATTCTCAAGGAGAGGAATGAAGTGCTCGGCAGCCCAAATTATTGGACTACGACCCGTGATTCTCTCCCCAACCCCCCAAATTATGTTGGAAATACCGACACTAGATTACTAACCACTAACTTCATTAGAAGAAAATGGGTTTCGTGATTGTTCAGGGAAATCTGTGATGCCATCAAAACATTCATTTAAACCCCAACACATATTGTTAAAACCACTAGTCCAGGCATTAGAATTAATAGAAAAGTATTCTCTATTATACCCGGTAAAATTAATTGTGTTTACAGGGTATGTATAAATTGGTGGCCATTAATTTTATGTACAAATTTTGCCGGTTATGAAGACTGACCAACACCTGGAACGGGTAAGCTGTTATTTTAACGTACAGTAATATCGATTTCTTCCTTGCTATATGCTGTGTTTAGTAGTGACAGGTTACTACTTATTAGTTACTCTGCAGGTGCAGCCGAAGGAAGGAAGAAATTACGAGTCATCCTAGTGCAACAGGAGGCATTCACATTAACCATTAAGGCTCATACCATAGAAGTCCCACAGTCATGGCTGAGAATGTTCAGTGCCTATTGTCAGGCTATAACAACTTAACAGCTTAGGCCAATGATTTCTATTTTACTAATCCATTTTAGCTGTAATGCTAACCCAATAGAACATGAATTCAATAGTTTATTATAATTATCAATTATATGATTAATAAGCTATATACATAACCCTCCCAAACATGTGTACAAGTAAACACCTAGCAGGATAACTTAAATATACAGTCCACTTTGAATTAATAATAATAAATTAAAGTAAGTTCAATAAATCAATATTTTAATTTATAAATAAACAAAATCCTGCTGGGAAAAAACCCTCTCTCTCTCTCTCACGCTCTCTCTTGCTCTCGCTCGCTCTCTCTCTCTCTCACGCTCTCCCTCTCTTGCTCTCGCTCTCTCTCTCGCTCTCTCTCTCTCTCTCTCTCTCTCTCGCTCACTCGCTCGCTCGCTCGCTCTCTCTCTTGCTCTCTCTTGCTCTCTCTTGCTCTCTCTCTTTCGCTCTCTCTCTTTCTCGCTCGCTCTCTTTCTCGCTCGCTCTCTCACTCTCTCGCTCTCTCTCTCCTCTCTCTCTCCTCTCTCTCTCCTCTCTCTCTCTTTCTTTCTCTTTCTTTCTCTCTCTCTCTCTCATGCTCTCTGACCCACATAGTAGGCATCCTTCAGTCTCGGGAGACTATGGAGTTGCGCCCTAGTTGTCAATCCTGGTGCAGCATCTGGTGTGACTGTTGAGGCCAATCCGAGAGTGGCAGTCCATCCCACAACGAGCACAAACGAAGTCCGATTCTGGTCTGTCTTCTCGGCTACCGGCTTTCCTTCTCTGTCTCTTTGCCTCCGATTCCTTGGCAAGTCACTCCTCGAACTTGGAGAGACCTCTTTGAACAGACTGCCTCCAGGCTGAACGGTCTGCAGCCAGTGTCTCCCACATAGCAAGATCGACGTCCATGGCTTTCAGGTCCCTCTTGCATACGTCTTTGTACCGTAGCTGGGGCTTGCCTGTTGGACGCTTTCCCTGCCTCAGCTCTCCGTACAGGAGATCCTTGGGGATCCTGCCGTCGCCCATTCGCACAACGTGTCCGAGCCAGCGCATTCATCTCTGTTTCAGCATTGTGTACATGCTGGTGATTCTTGCTCTCCCCAAGACGTTGTTGTTTGTCACCTTGTCCTGCCAGGTGATGTCCAAGATGTGTCTAAGGCAGCGCATGTGGTAGGCATTCAGCTGTCTTTCCTGACGAGCGCGGAGTGTCCAAGACTCGCTGCCATAAAGGAGAGTGCTCAGGATACAGGATCTGTAAACCTGAATCTTAGTATGCTCAGTTAGCCTATTGTTGGCCCACACTCTCTTTGTCAGTCTGGACATGGTAGTAGATGCCTTACCGATGCGTTTGTTTAGCTCTGTATCAAGAGAGAGGGAGTCAGAGATTGTGGAGCCCAGGTACACGAAGTCGTGAACGACTTCCAGTTTGGAATCAGAGATGCCGATGTCAGGTGGGGAGTCCACTCCTTGTCCCATGACTTGCGTTTTCTTCAGACTGATGGTGAGTCCGAAAGCCTGAGAGGCCTCGCTGAAGCGGGTTATGAGCCGTTGGAGGTCTTCAGCTGAGTGGGCAGTGACTGCTGCGTTGTCGGCAAAAAGGAAGTCGCGCAGACACCTCAGCCGAACCTTCGTCTTGGCTCTCAGCCTGGCGAGGTTAAAGAGCTTTCCATCCGACCTGGTCCGGAAATGCCTTCCGTGACAGATCCGAAGGCGTGCCGCAGCATAACTGCGAAGAAAATCCCGAATAGGGTTGGAGCCAGTACGCAGCCCTGCTTTACTCCACTTCGGATGTCAAAGGCGTCTGATGTTAGGCCATCAAAGACCACGGTGCCCGTCATGTTCTCATGGAAAGATCTGATGATGCTGAGGAGCCTGGGTGGGCATCCGATCTTGGGGAGGATCTTGAACAGGCCATCCCTGCTGACGAGGTCGAAGGCCTTCATCAGATCTATGAAGGCTACGAAGAGTGGCTGCTTCTGTTCCCTGCATTTCTCCTGCAGTTGTCTGAGGGAAAAGCTCTGACCCACATACCATTATAATAATCTTGAAATGAGCCTTCTCTCACTCGCTCTCTTTTGCTCTCTCTTTTACTTTCACCATCTCTCTCTCTTTCTCTCTCTGACCCACATACCATTATAATAATCTTGAATTCAGCCTTAACTGTATTTATTTTATTAATATCAATCTTTGGTAGACAGCAGTTTGCTGCTGCGCAAGTCTATGGAAGGTTGCAGTGTGTTGGTCAAGATTTAGGTGGGTTCACCTAATTTATCCATCTCACAGGGTGGTGGTTGATTATACAGTACACAGATTGTGAGTAGTATACTCATAAACTTATTCAACTTACTAAGTAGCTGCAATGCTCCGTATTGCAAGTTCGTCATATATTTTTTTTATTCTGTGGAATAAATGAGACTGTTTCTGTTGTGACTGCTCTTCTCAAATCTTTTATTGCATTAATTTAACTTGACCGGTATTCATTAGAATACTGAAACAGCCCAAACTAATGAGTAGTAATTAGTTTACTCTTTGATTCAATTAAAAATTACTCGCTACAATATGCCAACACCATAGTATGTAACTTTCATCCCTTCACCCTTATACAGTTGTTTGTAATTCCTGACGAGTTTAACGCAAATACTATAAATCCTCCTAATATTTACACATGTTCCTTTTTCCTAGCTTCTCTCAGCATTACAGTAAACTTTGGGCAGGATTAATTACGTCACCTTAGAGCACTTTCATATAATCCACATATTTTCTCTATGTTCGCTAATCCTAGACGTAGTGTTCTTATATTAAGGATTCCTTACTACATCTATACATGTGGTTTACTTAATTACTTGAACATATTGATCAATGCATCATACCAGAGAAACTAGATTACATCTTGACTAATGAATAAAAAATAATCAATTTAGAGATGCAAGTTATACGAAAAATACCTGTTAACCGATGAAGCTATAGCTTGTTTGCTAGTGAATAATTAAATAAATACAATTGGGTGTAGCGTTGACATAGGCTGTGTAGCTTGTATCTTTATCATTCGGCTTTCCTAACTTGCTATATATCTACAATTATTATATGATAGGATCTTCTTTCAACATTTTAAATTTCAATTTGAAATAAACTGCTAGGTTGCTATAAATAAACAGAGAAGAGATGGCTGCCTTATTGTAATAAAAGTGGTATTGTCACTCATACTGGAATATAAACACTGCCTAGTCCCTGAAATTCATTACCCTATTCATCATGGTGTATTGTTGTTGAGGCGGTTACTTTGCTTGGCAGGGTACGACCTGGTAGCGACGCGGATCATGCAACAGATAGTGGGTGAGAACAGGGACATTCCAGCCCCCTCCACTGTACCAGAGGCAGACCCCCTCCTCCGCTCCCTGCCGCCACCCAAGTACGTCCCTCTCTCTCTCTCTCTGTCTGTCTCTCTCTCTGTTTGTCTCTCTCTCTGTCTCTCTGTCTCTCTCTCTGTCTCTCTCTCTGTCTCTCTCTCTCTCTGTCTCTCTCTCTCTCTCTCTCTCTCTCTCTCTCTCTCTCTCTCTCTCTCTCTCTCTCTCTCTCTCTCTCTCTCTCTCTCTCTCTCTCTCTCTCTCTCTCTCTCTCTCTGTCTCTCTCTCTCTCTCTCTCTCTCTCTGTGTCTCTCTCTGTCTCTCTCTCTCTGTCTCTGTCTCTCTCTCTCTCTCTCTCTCTCTCTGTCTCTCTCTCTCTCTCTGTCTCTCTCTCTCTCTCTGTCTCTCTCTCTCTGTCTCTCTCTCTCTCTGTCTCTCTCTCTCTCTCTCTCTGTGTCTCTCTCTCTCTCTCTCTCTCTCTCTCTCTCTCTCTCTCTCTCTCTCTCTCTCTCTCTCTCTCTCTCTCTCTCTCTCTCTCTCTCTCTCTCTCTCAAAGAATCCCGCAACTAAACTTTTATTATACTAATACAGGTAAATGTAACAATTGTTGTAGTTATTGTTAGATTTGTATCAAATGCACTTCACACTCATTTGATTTCAATGTGTACATTAAAAATGTAATAGTACGTACACACACACACACACACACACACACTCACACACACACACACACACACACACACACACACACACACACACACACACACACATACATACATACATATACATGTCATATTCGGTTAAAAACCATGATCACCTTACACAAAATATATATGCTGGTGTGAATTTACACATAGTTTACATATAAATTATATATATTAAGAATTATGATCATACAAACTATCTGAGGTCCACATTAATTCTGATTTCACAGACAGCCTCGCCCTTGTCTCGATAAGTTTAATATACTACTTCCTCTCCCCAAGCAGTGCTATATCATACCATCTCCTTTGCCTAAAGATCTTACTTTCGCAAATGATCTTACCTACTGGTTTTTCAGAGCTTCCGAATACAAAGTGGCATTCAGTTCCCGGCCTCGCATCGCCCGTACGCCGCCTGGGTCTGCTGCTGCTGCCGAGAGGGGGTCGCCGGGAACTGCAGGCGGCGTCACCTCCAGCAGTCCTCGCCACGTCCTCCCTCCAATCTCTAGAACCAACCACACCTACACCCGCGCCGCTACCTGAGCTTGCATGCCACTCCGTCCAATGATACTACTATCTAAGCCTGTACCTCTCTCTCTCCTCTACCTTGACGGCTGGCTGGCCCGGCACTTCCTGCAGTAACTGGTCAAGTTGCCTTTTGATCAAATCTACTTTTGTTCGGTGCTTGACCAGGAGATCGAGATGGCCCAGGTGTGGTGGACCAAGTATGGTGGAAAAAAACGTTCAGTGGACCAGGTGTAGAGGCCCAGGTGTAGTAAACCTGGTGTGGTGAAGCAGGTATGGTGAACCAAGTGTGGTTGAACAGCTATAGTTAGGCAGTTGTGATGAAACAGGTGTGGTTGAGAACAAGAGGTACAAACCGCCCGCATCCATTTGCTCTCACTCACATCTCCAGCAACCATGTCGGTTTTTATTGACATGGTTGTTGAAGATTTATTTAAAATAGAGTGATAGCAACAAACTTATTTAGCAAATGGAGTCATAGCAAAAAAAAAGCTCAATGACAGCAGTGTGTACAGTAAATGTAGCTAGAGCTGTATATGGCCCGACCAACACACAGGTAACATGTACCGAACATACGGGGGCAAATCATACGACTGTTGATATATTTGCGTGTGTATATATACACACACCCCTCACGTCTAAACCTGTCCTCTTGGATAGTACATCGTATTTTGATGTATAAATCCCCCTAAGACTAAAAACTGGTGGACTAAAAATCCTAGCTGCTCATAAAATTGACGTGATGTCCCATTTTCTATTCGTGGATTCTTGGTTAGGTTGGGTTCGGGCAATTTAGTACATCAATTTAGTGCCATTGTGAACGCTCGAGAGGACAGTCTGTAGAATGTAAGCTGTGAATAAGCCTGTGTAAGGTCAGAGAGCCTAGCTAGTGGGTGTTTTTCACATGTTTTGTATTAAACGATCAGTGAGTTCTTGATATCGGGTAATGTGACCCACAGTACCTTTCAGGCGTAATGGGAGATTACATCACGATCTTATATTCTCCATGTAAGCCTTCTCGACTGTGATTTACTCACAACGCTTGCCTTTTAAAACACAAGAATAACTTAAAACACACACACCTGTACACACATGCATACATACACATTTATGTATAACGAAAGTGCATTATTCTGTTTTTCGTATATTATCTGGTATGGTGTAATAAAGTGGTATGTTTATATATACAGTATATATATATATATATATATATATATGTCGTACCTAGTAGCCAGAACTCACTTCTCAGCCTACTATGCGAGGCCCGATTTGCCTAATAAGCCAAGTTTTACTGAATTAATATATTTTCTCTAATTTTTTTCTTATGAAATGATAAAGCTACCCATTTCATTATGTATGAGGTCAATTTTTTTTTATTGGAGTTAAAATTAACGTAGATATATGACCGAACCTAACCAACCCTACCTAACCTAAACTAACCTATCTTTATAGGTTAGGTTAGGTTAGGTAGCCGAAAACGTTAGGTTAGGTTAGGTTAGGTAGGTTAGGTTGTCGAAAAAACATTAATTCATGAAAACTAGGCTTATTAGGCAAATCGGGCCTTGCATAGTAGGCTGAGAAGTGAGTTCTGGCTACTAGGTACGACATATATATATATATATATATATATATATATATATATATATATATATATATATATATATATATATATATATATATATATAATGTTGTACCTAGTAGCCAGAACACAGTACTGTACTCGACCTACTATGCAGAACCTGATTTGCCTAATAAGCTAAATTTTCCTGAATTTATTTATTTTTCAATTTTTTTTCTTGTGAAATGATAAAAATATCCATTTCATTATGTATGAGTTCATTTTTTTTTAATTTGAGTTAAAACTAACAGGTATATGACCGAACCAGACATACCCAACTTAACTTAACCTATCTTAAACTAACCTAAACTAACATAACAAAGTCAATAATTTATGTTCTTAATTAATATAATATAACAATAAAAATTCAAATAACCAAATGGGAACAATTTGTTTAAAATAAATAAAATCACTTGGAGTAATAGGTAAATCAGGCCTTGCATAATAGGCTGAGAAGTGCATTCTGGCTACTAGGTTTGACATTATATATATATATATATATAAGTATATATATACACACACATACACACACACTATTTTCAGGCAACGAATATCATAATTAATAATGAAAGTAATTTTTTGTATTATATCATTTATGAAATTTTACTAACATAACTTGTATTCAAATAAATTATCAATACAGTCATCTTTAATTTTCCTCCAACTGGCAAATTCATAATTAAGAGTACTCAGATTTCAAACTGCAAAAAAATAAAAATATGTATCTAAATGTCACCTTGAACAGTTCCAACTCTAATGATTGTAAGAATTTTGTTAAGGTATAATTATTAAACTAATACTGTATGTGTAATCATTAGTTAATCTGTTTTCGGCTTTCACGGAATGAAGAGGCATTTTCGTGGAGAAGATTGGAGAATAATATGAACACAACCTAATATTTACTGACTTTGATAGACCACACTTTGATACAGAGAAATCTTAACAACACAGAAATCATCAGTAGATACAGCGATAGCTGGAGACTCGACATCAGTGAGGCACTACTTATCAAGAAGTCAACACCAGCAATCAACAGTCAATTAACACAACTATATTTTTACCCAATTCAAGACCCCGAACCAACATAGAAGCGGCAAGAGAATGTATGGGCCAATAGGCCTTCTGCAGTTACTTTCATTCTCATGTTTTCATACCCTACCTTACCCAAAACGTTTTGTATCATATCACCTCACCCGTTTTATATATATATAACGCATATAAGCATGATGTATGTTAAGTGTAAACAAGTCTTTAAGAATGCAAGAAGCCCTTACGAAACGCTTCTAGGTGTCAGACCAAAATAAAAATGAAAAATGAATTTTGGAGAATTAATTTTTCAATGACCCTTGACAGTGAAGAAAAACATAAGAAATAGAGAAAATTTGCGTTAGAATTATTAATCTTACCCTTTCGGTCATATTCAACAACATATATATATATATATATATATATATATATATATATATATATATATATATATATATATATATATATATATATATATATATATATATAATATAATGCAATTAACTATTTTTACATTTTTTTTTTTTTTTTTTTTTTTTTTTTTTTTTTTTTTTTTTTTTTTTTTTTTTTTTTTTTTTTTTTTTTTTTGAGATATATACAAGAGTTGTTACATTCTTGTACAGCCACTAGTACGCGTAGCGTTTCGGGCAAGTCCTTAATCCTATGGTCCCTGGAATACGATCCCCTGCCGCGAAGAATCGTTTTTTCATCCAAGTACACATTTTACTGTTGCGTTAAACAGAGGCTACAGTTAAGGAATTGCGCCCAGTAAATCCTCCCCGGCCAGGATACGAACCCATGACATAGCGCTCGCGGAACGCCAGGCGAGTGTCTTACCACTACACCACGGAGACTGCACATTATACATTAATAATGTGTATTATATGTAATGCATGTATTATATACATTTTACATGCACGGAGATATACATTAAATGGTCATTACTATAAAGAACCATGCTCAATACTTGGGTGTATTGCATACGGTTGTCAAAATCAACCGGATATAGTGACGAAATGTTCGTCAAATCACGTGAGCCCCAAAGAATGAGGTGATTTGATAAAATACTATGCCCAAGATTACCATCAGAGTGCCGGCGGGCTGATGGGCAAATAGCCTCGGCTACCATCAGCTTTTGTCCGGTCGTGATGGTCGAGTGGATTAGGTGCCCTGTACATCAGATGCAAATCTGGTGTACAGATTGTACCCCGCCAAATCGTTTAACAACCAGCCAGTTTACTGTTGGGTAAACAGAGGATCCTCCCCTAGCCGGGGAGGATTGACTGGACACCAATCCCTAACTATAGCCTCTGTTCACCCAGCAGTGAATGGACTAAAACGATTTGGCGAGTCGTATTCCGGGGAAAAAAAATAGGATTAAGTACTTGTCCGAAACACTATGCGTGCTAGTAGATGTACAAAAATGGAAAGTAGTAGTAATCAAGAGAGCGGAGAAGAATGTAGGAACTCTTGTATATAAATAAATTAAGGAGTGATGATAATAATGCGTACTAGTGGGTTTACAAGTTTGTTAACACCATACTATGTATTCTCACAAACCCAATGTACCTTCTTGTATATAAATAAATAAATAAATAAATGTACAAGAATGTAACAACTCTTGTATATATCTCAAAATAATGTCCAAAGAGTGTGTGAGTGTTGAGCGCCATCTGTGAGTGTGGTGTGAAGGGACGGGGAAGAGGGCGGCGTTAGTGGTGTCGGGGCGGGAGTGTCCCGTCTGAGTGAGTGCCGCGTCAGGTGTTGCAGGTGGCACCAGCTGGTCACGAGACGCGCGCCCACTCCCCTACGCCGCCACGCTCATCACACCTTATCTTTTCTCATGGCTTTCCGGAGTGGGTCGTCGGGGGACGGCGCTGACAGCTTCTTGGGAGACAAGGTGGGTGGTGAAGGTGGCCGGGGCGGCGGTGTAAGGGGCTCATCGACCGTCTCCAGCCAGCCATTGTTGGTGATAACGCTTCACGACGCCAACCTCTTGTCATAAAACTTGAATAACATTACAAGTTTTCTTTTGCTGTTTGTGTACAACACATTGAATGAATGGGTGCGTCAGTTGCGTTATTCACCGTAATACTGAACTATCCGTTATGGAACATAAGGAAATATTTTTTTTATTGTACAAAATTTGATTGTGCATAAAGATGGGTCCAAAAGTAAACATTTAGATATTGTACTCACTCAAAGTGAGGTTTGTACACTCAAGACATGGATTGTGGGCGAAGATACACAACCTACAATCTGGTTTAGTGATGGGTAAAGGAATAGTCAGTGGACGTCTCTTCTTAAGTTGCTGTAAACCCATGGAACTGCCTACCCGCTGAGGCCATAAGTGTCAAGACTAGTATTACATTTCAACAAATTTAGCTGGAAAAATGGGTAGGGGTGGGACCTTCTGACAAGCTATTGGCTTCCTGTCCCCATTGAGGCCAGTTGAAAAATGTTGACCATCTGGGTAAATTCGAGTAAATGGCAAAGTTTCTTGATAATTCTGTCAATATCCCCCTCGACTAACCTTTGGGCAAGACTGCTTGCTCACAAGACATGTCCCTTAGTTTCATGTCACCAGTTCTTCTCGGTAATTATATAGTTCAAGCTAGTAGCATTTTCAGATATGTTTGCTAGAAAAGTTAATTTTGTATGGCTTATTTTTTTTTTCCTACAGGGTCCAACTGATGGGTCGTTGATGGCAGCTGTGCTGCCTTATGTGATTATGATAATACTTCTCCCTATTGGTAGTTTCTTCTTCTCAAAGTCAGTCATTTTTGAAGGTAAATAAAATTGTAGTTTGAAAATTATGAATTTTAAGGTAGTTTCATTCATTTTCTAGAACATGATTAATTTCAAGCTAAGAATAGAGCTGTTGAAGGCTGTTGAATGTAGTCTCTTCATTGTCTAATGCACCAAATACAAATTTAAAACCTCCTTGTTGCATTTAAAACCTGAATACATAATATTTACACTAATGCTAAAAGTAAGCAAGTGTAGCAGTGAAGAATAGTAATTGATATTACTAAAGAGTTTTGTTATTTGGGAGTGGTAGAGGCAAATTTCTACCCCCTGGGGGTTTCCCAGGATGCAACCCCACAAGAAGCTGGATATAAATATATCACTGACTTTAACTGTTGTAGATATACTTCCTTATCCACTGGATATAAATAGGAGGTACTGTATCTCATATGGGCCAATAGGACTTTTGGAGTTTCCTTTGGTTTCATGTTCTTATTGATAAATTCATTCATATATTGATAATGATTTAATTAATTAATTCATTGTCAGGGGGACAGGAAGCCATAGTGTATTCATACATGTTAGGCTTGTATCGAGGGAGCTGCCTCCCTCCCCCTAGAGTCAAGAACGAACCCAACTGTACTAATGGGACCTTATGAACCCAACTATGCTACCAGGACCCTAAATTATTAGACTAAATGCATTATTCTTATTGTTTGTAATGTATTCAATCCATGTTTTTTTTTTAATTACACACAAATCTAGTTATTCAACATGAATAAATGTAAAAACAATAGTATAAACATAGATTCAGTATTGGAGTCTTTTGGGCTTATGCCTGTTTTGGCAAGATGATAGAGTTGGTGTCGACAGACCTGTCTGGCCTGCCTCCCAGCCATCTTGTGCAGCTTATGATACTAGTAAAAATCTTAGATATTTATTTCCACTTTTCCATATAATTTGCATTAAAATTACTAAGGAATTGTATTTTTCACAGGTGGTTGTGCATGCATTTCCTTAACCACACATTCAGGGGTTAATGACATTGCTTCATAATGTTGGTAGGTTTCAATAAACATTGGAGCTTAATGAATTTTAAGAATTATTTTAGGGACAATTATTATAGTAATAAAAAAATCAGTTGTGGACAATTTGCAGCTGGCAGTAGTATCAGATATATTGCATAACAAGAACTAATAGATGTTTTATTTTCAGATCTTTTGTCGTACAGTGAGACTACAGCCAGTGTTTATGGTGCCATTTGTTCTGTTATCATTTTGCATGTTCTTCTGGCACTTTTTATTCTCAAGGCCTTCAGAGAGTCCCCAGTGAAGGGCTCCAAGCAGGATTAATTTTGCAAGGTAATTAGCATGGAGGATTGTTTACTGCAGAACAATAAATTATTTTCAGAAATGTGTGTTCTAGCATAGTAAAGTGCATGGTCCTGTGAAGAATCTTCTGTAGCTATTTTAAATGAATAAAAATTATGGAAAGAGTACAGTTAGTGCTTAAAATTGTGGTGTAATCTTGCATAGTTGAAACCTGTACTGGGTAAAAATTTATACCACTTGAATATTTTTAAATTGAAATACCGATTCACTGTTTGCATAACGGAGTTGTTAGACATTTTCTTAGCCCTTCATCAATATTGTCTTAGCTCATGTAATTAATTTTATTTTTTAATTTTTATTTTGTCATAAACTAGTATTTTTACTGGTTGTATTTTTAGGTGAAGTAGTCACTCGGTAAACTGTGTTTATAAATTCATATAAAATATTTTGGCCTTTTGCTGAAAAGACTCGGTTTTGGCTTGAGTTAAAGGTGCACGAATGAGTGGTGGATGTACAAGTTCTCGTCAAGGTCTACCACATCAATGCCCGTTTAATCTAATGTGCTCACCTGATTGCTTGCAGGATCAAACATTTTTCTAGTGTATCATGTCATAAATATAAATGACTTCTTCATAAACACTTTGATGTTATGGCTTTTATTGATATTAAAAGTATTGGAAGTATTAACAAACCTTTACACTTCCTAATTGGTGTACAAGTAACTGGTGAACAGTACGACCATTACTGTTAGTGTCCTGCCCTCTAGTTAGCAAGGCAAATCATTAATTTCTAACTATTTAGTATTCATTTGTTAGTGTTTTTACTAATGTTTACTTATTTAGCTTTAACAAATATTTGGGATGAAATTTGCCAAGTGGTTAGCCATGTAGGCTGTCACGATAGTGTCATACTCATTGAGTTTTGGCATAAATTAAAATCTATTCAGGGAATTTTAATTTTTGTACAGTACAGTATTATGTTGTGGTGGCGTGTGTGTTTGGAGATTCCCCAACTTAAAAAATTTTTGGTCTTGGCTTTGCATTTTAAAATGTTTCCATTTCTTTTGTGTGAGCCTTATACTTTGATAAATGCCTTTTTAGCTTGGTAAATTAAACCTCATTTTCTTCATAGTATTCTATAACTACTTTCAGTGCAAAGTGATGTCTTAAATACCAGTAAAGTAAACCATGTTCTAAAAATTTGTCTTTTGTTTCAGATTTTGTGTGTATATATATTTGTTAGGGTATTTAAGCTTTGAAATGATTTGTTCAGACGTCAGTTCAGCTTGTATAGATGCAGAAGTCAAACCAGTTGATTCAGAGTTACTTGAGTATTCATCAACAAGACCAAAGTCAGCAGGACATGATGCACAGGCAGGTTCAGCTGGGGCAGCCAGGTATCAACTGGGTACCCCAACTTACCCTGAAGAGGAACACACAAATGTTACCATTGAAGAAATTGTTGTAAGTTTGACTTTTTATTTTTTTGTTTGAAATCTTGATTTGCAGTACTGTATTTACTCTAATTTTGATGATGCTTTAAAGATAGTTGAATTGTTTTTTGCTATTTCATAGGTCTTATATGGAACTGGGTATTTGTTTAAAGCAGAAATTATGTAAACTCTGGATTTCCAGAATTTGGGAGACGATTGTCTTGGTCTGAAGATTGTATTGACTACGAGAGAAGCTTCTTTTATGGGTGTCATCAACTATATTCTGCCAGCTAGTAAACGATTGGCATTGGAGAAGGTATGAAAGTATGGAGATTAAAACTTTTTTTTTTGTCTTGCTGCATAAAGTAGTATCCACTTTTGGTATGCATACTTAAATATAAAGTTTTATTAGGCTATTCTTCCACCAAGGCTCTGGCTGGATATTCAGAAAGGCTTCTTTGTGCTGTCCATAACTAGACAGGAATGGTTTAGAGAGTAAGGGGATTTAGGGGATACAAAGAGTAGGGGGGGATATAAATAAACATGATAAACTTTAATGGTGTGAATAAAAAAAATTGTGGACTGCTTCTAATGAGTTTTGTAGATATGTGAACAAATGAACAATAAGTTTAAAAAAGTGTCCTTTACATATGCATTGGGGACATAAAATGTACAAGTATAGTCTATATTTAAATTTAATGGCTGTTCATTTTTGCATGGTTCTGTCATGTATTTGGGAAGGCAATACCATGTACAGTACTCTATAATTTACACATTTTCTACCGGTAGAATTAAGGCATTCATCATTCTCCAATAAGTTTTTATTTATTTTCAATCAATTTAATGGGAAAAGATTGTTTTCATTGTGGTAAAATTATTTGAGATTCTCAAGGTTGCCTCTTGAACAGTTGACACACTGATTACAGGTATACTGTTGTGTAAAAGGGCAGAGTTTGTTGAAATAAATATAGCTTATTTGTTAAACATGGTAAAGGTTACATTTGTACAAATTTCTTATACTGTTTTGTCATCATGTTGGTGTACAATTTACTTGATATTAAAAAAGTAGGGTAACACAAATGACCAAGTTTTCTTACACCTGATGCCTCTCTTAACCTAGCAGTTAATAGGTACCTTTTGAGTTAATTGGTCTCATTGTGGGGTAGTTCAGTTGTTGGCCTTGTGGAGGAAGACGGGGGGTTGATAAACATAACTTCCTTTCTCCAACAATGGAAAACCATTGCCAGATTTTGTACAGTATTATGATGTCCACAGTAATGTTGGACATCCAGATACAGTAAATAACTTTTAATTCTTCTTGGTTATACTATATTTCCATGAACTCCCAAAATGCATTCCTGTATAGTATAATGTGTAAAGCAAGGACAATGCAATATAAGTTTGGCAGTTTTCTGGTAGGATCTTACTTTCCAGGCTGGATTGCTCACCCACTTTGCTGAACAAGTGTTGGATGAAGTAAGTGATGTGCTGATATGCTTAGGATGCAGGGCCAGTGTTCAGGCCTGTGGGGAAAGTTGATGGGCCTGGCTCATATACAGTACACCATTTTGGGATTATGGCTCTGCCTTTAAAAAAAAATATGGTTTAAGGGGACTTTATCTTTGGATTCTGTCATTGAGGATGAAATTTCAGGATCTGGTAGTAGTTATTCATTTAATTAATTGAAATTTAAACTTCACTCATTGAAATTAGCCCATAGAGCATGGGAAAATATTAAGTTATGAATGTAGCTGCTTAATATGGCTCTAATCATGTGTTTAATCATTTTTGTAGATGGACATAACTCTTAAGAGAAAGGGCTAGAGCCTTTGGAAAGCCATTTTGAGCATACCGTATTTCTAAAAAAAATTCTTGGGTTCCTTTTCATGTTGAGTTGGCATGATTTTCATTCACTTGCGTATGGTCTCTGCTTGCTTAGATAATGACGTTTCAACCTCCTTAATTTGAGGTGGAAATAAGCCACATCAACATAATAAATACCCTAGATCAAATGCATACCTTTAGAACTAGAATAACAGATAAGATCCAACTGTGAAAATACTGTACTAAAAATCTGATATTCACAGACTTTAAAGAACTTTTCAAATACAACTTGATCAGATTGCCTCATTGAACTAAAAAAAAATATAATTGATTTACTGGGACAGAAACGAAGAGGTTTAATTTTCAGTTTTGCTAGGTCGTCTTAGTAGATATAGGCAGAAATACAGCCCACACTTTCGTCATCTTTCACAAATGATACGTCTAAATCAGCATGAAAGTACCTCATTGGAAGACAAGGACAAAATTTATCTGATAAATCTTTCCAATGGGTAGCAGAAAGCATGTTAAATATTAATAAAGTTCAGTGGCTTATTTAGAATAAAGTTTCATTAAAATAAAGAGGGTAAGAGATGCTGGCTGATCTCTTCATATAATGGAGGGACCAAGTAAGATATATATAAATATTTAAAGTGCATTATATCAAATGTGGTATCGCTCATAAAAAGAGATCTTTCAAAACACGAAGGCCACACCCCCTGATGTTTAGGTGCTCTTGTTTGGAATGCTGTTCAGTGGTTGAATCTTCTCTAAGCAGGTGAGCTCTTTTAACCAGAATATATGCAGATAATTTACAGCCTGCTTATATTGATGGTCTTATATGGGAAATAGGTTTGCATATTCCAAACTTGCCCAAATAAAATTCTAACTGGAATGTAATACATGGTAAGAAGTGTAGAATAAACCCAGCCAAAACTTTGGTTGCCATTTGGAATAGGTTGATGCTCCAATGATGGAAACTGACAAGTTTCTGTAGAAGTTACTGAATCTGTTTCGTTGTAGTGAGGGCCTGTGGATTACTTACAAAATATCCTCACACTTATAATTGCCATTGCTTGTTGCAGCTGCTGCCTCAGGTAAGATCCTATGGAATCCTTGGACACCTGAGGTAACTGCATTTCTAGATCTTGTGTCAACATCAGTGGGGGGGGGGTATGATCAGTTGAATCCAATTTGGATAGCAGCTCGCCTTTCGTGTAACCACTAGATCTGAGGTTGAATAAAATTTAGAAACCGCACATAAAAGTTCAGGATGATGACTTAAAGGAGATTATCATTGAGGGGGAATTGCAAAACACTTCTTGGGGGAAGTTAATTGGTGGTAATGACAATGTGAAATTTTTCCATGTTTCAAAGGTCATCACTGAACTTGTTCAATAATGTGCCAAGGGGAGGAGGGAGGAGGAATAAATAAAAGATGGATAGTGATGGAAACAAAACTTTAACAACTAAAGTAAAATTTATGAAGTGTCAGTCTTCCAGGAATCACATAAATCAGATACGCAAAAGGGCATTAAGTTCAGCTACCACGGAAATTGGATTGGAAAAAAACTATAAAAGAAAACTTGTTTACAAACTCAACAAATATCACCTGTCCTTTCATGCTTATTGTAAGGAGTAAAACCAGGACACAAGACTTGGTAGGATCCTTGAAAGATGAAACCAACTAAATTTATAATGCATGATGAAAAGCAAGACACCACTAAAGGAATACTTTACATGGGTTGATGCTTGTCTAAACTTTCTAGATGACAATACAACATCCCAACTCCAGCACTGATGTTTGAAGTAGGAGAAATGTATTAATTGATATCCCCATTACATACAAATAATCAGGAGCATAAATAAAAAAGCTCCAAGTGTGGTTGGAATTCAATCAACAATTGTAAAGAAACTGGCCAATGAATTGTCATCCACTGAAACTGCTTTTCCGAAAATATCTAGGCCAAGGTAAAGTCCCTCTAGATTATAACTATGCAAATGTTGTCCCCATCTTAAAGAAAGGCTGATAAAAGTTCAACAGGAAATTCTAAGGTAGGAAATCATTCATCATCTCGGTGCAAAAGCTTAAGCCAACATAACATGGTTTTGTAAAAAAAAGAAAATCCTGCCAAACCAATCTGCTCACATTTTTGGAAATTATTACCAGCTACTCAAGGGGCTTTCAGTAGATACAGTAAACTGTACTAGGGCTTCTCTAAAGCTTCAGATAAGGTACTATATGAAAGACTGACACAGATATTTCTAACTCTCATAGGGAATGAACGAGCAGGGTAGGAACAGGATTGGGAGCTACTGAATGGCCTTCTGGATTTTGGGGATTCCCCCCCCCCCCCCCCCCTCCTCGGTAACACACTGATCCTATCACAACAGAATATTGGTAAAGGAAAAGACTATTCAGACATAATCTGAATAAAAAAGATAGCAAGGGCTAACCCAGTGGGAGCAGACAATAAATGGGATGTCAAAGGGCAAACAGCCTAAGGCCGAACTCCACACACAAAGGGTGAGGCTGAATGACAAACCCTAAAACAGGCAAAGCCCAGAAATTCCCATGCCTAGTACCTCACTATGGCCAGAAGATAAAGTAATGAACCCAGCCATGTCATAACTGAGTCTGTCTTTAGTCCTCCCATGCTTGCTAGGGGTTGCTCCCCTCATCTGCAGTTTGTGCATTTCACAGCGAGGGAGTTTGTATTGGCCATTTTGATGGCATTTCAGCACATTGCTTCAAGCAGAGCTGTTACTTGTTATATAATGAGGGAAAACAGTAAGAAATCACATGATCAAAAAGTGACTAATGTGTTTGAGGAACTTGACACAGATTCAGCATTAAAGAAACTAATGGAGAGCATTGTAACCACTTAAAGGAAGTAAACAGTGGTTTGATGTACAGTAATGGAATAACAAAAAGGCAGTGGGGGGGTAGACTAGTTATCACTGGCTGCTAAAAGAAACTACAGGGGCACTGTAATCTAATAACTAGGGGTCTAATACAAAACATTAAACTGGTATCCTCCTTTGTCTGGAAAAAGGCATAGTTGATGCTAAACCATACTTCATGAAATGGGACAGACGAGAAGCCCTGAGCTACAGAAATCTCAATAATATGAATTCCATGAAAGTACAGTACCATAGAAAATAATCGAGAAGTATTGTGAAGAGAATAAAAATTTGTAACAAACATCATGACTTAAGAAAATCAGTAGGAGCCATGAGGAGGATTTGAACCCCCCACACTTTGTACTGTACTCCCAAGCACACGCCCTAGACCACTACACCACGACATGATAAAAAGTAATGGAACCTGGGATTCAACTGAATCCTTTAGGGGCTCCTGAGGCCTCCACTGAAGTCCTATCAGAGGTTTCACACACTGTCCCCATGCACTCTGTCTATGGTCTAGGAGTTCTACCTCCAACACTTCTCTTCAAATGCACAGGTGAAGCCTTTGAAGAGAAGTGTTGGAGGTAGAACTACTGGACCACAGCCAGAGTGCATGGGGGACATTGTGTGAAACCCCATAATTGGGCTTTGTTGGAAGCCCAAATTTGAGTTCAAATCCTTCTCATGGCTCCTACTGATTTTCTCGGTGATACATCACATTAATGTGATTTCATTGTGCCTGACTTTAGAACTTAAGTTCTATGAAAAGGTCACCTTGATATTGCAGGAGTGAGAGGACTGCCAAAATACACTTAATACAGTTCTTCACAAAGGTTTAGTGCACAAGACAGAGGCAAGCTGTTATAACTAGAATGGCATTAAGTGGGTAAGGGAGTACCGAATGAACAGGGTAACTGAGGGGTCAGTGAGAGAAGAGACGAGCAAGAAGTATCGCTCAACGCTTGGTTCTTGGATCATTGCCATTCTAAATCTGTTAATGGCCTACTGTGAGGGGCGAGTTCATGCATGTCAATATTGGCAGATGTGCAAAAGTTGTAAGGCGAGTACAAACTTGATGAAGGCAACTAGATGGTCTCGTGTTAGATTCCCGATCAGAACGAGATGTTGGGGCATGTTTCCTTGTACAGTACCTGATGCCTCTTTCACTGAGCAGTAAATAAATAACCAGGAGTCAGGTAACTATTGTAGGTTTAATCTTGAGAAAGGTCAGTTGTTGGCCTTAGAAACCTTGATAAATCTAATAGGCTTTCTGTCCCCAACAATGGGAAAACCAAATGCCTGCTAGATTTGAACTCAAGTGTAAGGTAATGAAAATGGGTAGGGGATAAAGACACTAGAAGGAAATTACGCTGCAAACGGTAAGCACCTATATGTATCAAAATGAAAGCCTTTGGAATAAACATAATACCAACACTTTTACCAGAAGAGCATATAAACAGCACTAGCAGCATGTAGTCGACATGTGGAAAGCACCTGTGTAAAAAGAGAAATTAAACTATCTGTATCCAGGGCTACAAAAGCCAATTTGACAGAATTGAAATAAGAATTATATAAGCACTAAGTCAACACTATTTTCTATATGAAAACAGTATTCAAAAAGCTAGATTCCCCCCCCCTCTTCTCTTAATGATAGTTAAGCTCCCATACTCTGTTGTGCATAAAATGTTGGACTCGGTGTATCAGTACTATAATAGTGCCAATCATTTTTTTTTTCCTAGGTGTGTAACCCGAAGACAGGAAAGAAGCGAGTTGGCATGTTGAATGTTTTCTTTCACAACATCCGCAATATATCTGTTATAGGTGAAGATAAGGAAGCTCGACAAAGACTGCTAAAGGTATGTTTGAGTATTCTTGTTTAAAGTATTCTGTTTAGTCTAATTATTAAGGTATTTTGTAAAAATCCCATTAGTATTGAAACTTTGAGTAGATTGCATCTAATGTTATTTTCTTTATCTGTGAACTTTGATCATTTAATACTCAAGCACTGTTCTTGAATTGGGTGTTCCTTTCCTCATTGGCTAAAGAATGATTTTTTCTGAGCATGGTCAACTTTTTTGCTTCCCTCAGATAGGGTCATGGGTCTACCCAGGTCACTGTTAGCAGTGACCAGGTTCTGGATAAAGTTGAGCATCACATCAACTTTTCAAATAGTTTTATCTAATAGTATAAGGGGATAAACGACTCCTAAGATCATTTGATGTTTCATGTTGCATAGTCAAATACTGTACTTTATTCATAACTGTGTACATTTTTAGTTGGATAAGTTTACGCAAATTTAGAGGGAGATTATATTTCAATCCACCACAGAGAAACTGCTCATTATGACACCAAAGAATATAACCACTCAACCATTCCCCTTCCCCTCCCCGGCCACCCCTCTCAACAAATGATCATTGCGACTACAAGCACAGTCGAAAACATTCACCGGAAATCTCTCTTCAGAGGTTGTTCAGTACCCTACAGGTTGGTCTTTCTCCCCACAAGTTGGGGTCACTGCCTTGGTTGTGTTTTTTAGGGACTTTGTCTCCCAAGTCCTGGCCAGGATGCTGGATTTATTTACAAACACTTCAGATTCAAGCATGATGTCTTGGTGATTTTTGTACTGAAATTGCTTTCCTCCTTATTTTTTACTTGTACAATACTGTACATCAATGAGTTATGTATAGCATATGTTTACATAACTTATTTTTCTGGAGAGCTCCTAAGTTGCTAGCTGCTCTCATGTTGCTTTCATGTTGCTAGCTGCTCTATATAGCACCACACCAATCAAATTGCATCAGGCCTTACAAATTATTAGGAGCCATCAGGAGACCAGAGGCCAAAACCATTTATCCATAAACTGCACCACACAATCAGGGATGTTTTAAAGTACCACAGGTCCCCAGTAACCAATAACCATCCTGGAAAGAATCATGGGTACCCTTTCCAGATGTGAGGAGGCTCACTAGTAAGAAGAGAATCATGAAGTAGTACATGCAGCAGTAGCTCACAGCACTGCCATGCTGCTCATGCCTGTAGCATCCATTAATGATGACACAAATAAGTACAGCATCTACAAATATTTATAGATGGTACTGACATAGAAGATCCCGACAGTGATAAAGACTAAGTGCAGGGTTCAGATACAGTATGAGTGAGTGCATTGGTGGTGGTGGTGATCACAGCACGAGGCAGACCGTCACAGCACACAGCTGCAGTGTGGTGCATCATGCAATGGGACCTCATGTTTTTTTAGAAAATGAAAATGCTTAGTGGTTTGTAGCAGTGCAAAAACATGTAAATACTGTACTGTAATTATAAATAATATATGTAAACAGTGTAATAATAGGAAAACAGTATGTTTTATTGCCAAACTACCCCTTCTTACTTGTTGATGGGGATCAATGTCCCCGTGATTCATTCAAAGAATATGATATTGTATGTATTTTAATGACATGAATGTATTTTTGTGTATTGATGTTCTGCTATTTTTATTATAGAAATATATCAAATTATGCAGTATTGCATAAAATAACTGCACAAAAAAAAGTGAACAAAAAATTAGTTATACAGATAATTTGGTAAAAATATTCACGGCAATGCTCGCCGCGTGCTTGGTGTAGGTAGCCATCTCAGGGCATCTCGTCTATCTAAGTACTGTACACGAATTTGATGTCATCACGAGATTTCTGCTCTCTTCCAGTCATAGTAAACTATTTTTTTTCTCCAATTTTTTCTGTGATCAGAAAACTCATTTTAACAATATTAAAACAAAAAATAATTTTTCAATTTACTTTTTTCCTGTGCATCACCTGGTTATCATGTAAAATCGAGTTCACAGTGCCGGAAATTAAGTTTGGAGGAAGTAACAGAGTGGGCATTTTTTCCTCATTTTTACCTATACAGATGTGTTGAGGAAAATATATATAGTATTATTAATAGAAACATCAACTGAGAAAAATAGATTTCAGAACTACCCTTGTGAAATGTCTCATTCAAATAAGTAAAAAAAAAAAAAAGGGTACTCCACAAACTTAATGCAATTTATGTAAGTATATTGACCAGTTAAAAGTAGGATTATAGTGTTCCTATCTTCTCAGGATGCATACCATGAAGATAATAGAGGTAAACAACTTCTGATGAAGAAGCTTGTTCCCCCTCACTTGGTGGACTTGGGAGAGCATGCCAATCAGGTAGATGATGATGTCTTGCTTGGCAGGGTACAGCTAAAACCTCTCTCTAAAGGCTGCAGTATTTCGAAAGACAAGCAGGACACTCCGCCTCCACCCGCCAGAATTCCACGACCAGCAAAATGGGTTGTCATTGATACTATTGGTGATGCGTTTAAGAAAGCAGTAAGTATTTTGTTCTCACTTGGAATGGTAGCAGTGAATGTGATCCTCAGTCCCACAGTAGGCCATAACCTCCCTGCACCCTCCTTAACCACTTAAAATATATATTTTATACTGTAGTACTGAATGTCATTCTTGGAGAGAATTAAACTTGTTACTCTTTTCGATTCCTTTAGCCAAAGGCAATGCTGGTCATCTGGCCCATCCAGTTATTGGCCAGACACAAACATGAATTTTAATGACCAATTGTTGTGCACATCATCCATTGCACCACACCAAGGTTAAGTGTATCCATCCAAATCAGTTGCATTTTATAAAACATGAAGGCTCTTTTGAAAGCTCAATCACTTCATATAATTTGTACATAATGTACATACATATTACTCACTTTTGTTGGGTGGGAAGGAATCATTTCGGAGAAAATATAAGGTAGTGAATTACTCCTTTTGTAGCCAGATTCTCAGATGCTCCAGTAGCCAGTTGTTATATAGTCCACACAGGATTCTTAGGCTCTCATGAATGTTATTCCCATCATGATTGGTGTCACACATTTAAGGAAGGGAGACTGTGGCAAGTCTTATACAAGTCACCACAATGAACCCCATCTTACTGTAATACAAAGCAAAAATTAAAAGTTCCAGAATAGCCAATTGACTGCAAACTGTGAGAAAATCAGTAGAAGCCATGAGGATGACTCGAACCTGCATACGGGTACTCCAAAGCACACACCTTGGGCCACTGAACCACAATTTGCTAAAAGTAATGTAACCTGGGATTCAACTGAATCCTCTAGGGGCCTGAGGCTTCCACTGAAACCTAGTCAGGGATTCATACGTTATCCACATATAATCGTACACTTTTAGCACATCATGATTCAGTGGGTTAAGGCATGTGCTTGAGAGTACCCAGTGTGCAAGTTCAAATTCTTCTCCTGGCTTCTGATTTTCTCATAGTTAGCAATGTCAGATGGCTAATTTGGCACTTTTAATTTTTGCTCTGTGTTTCAGCAAGCTGGGACTCATCATGGTGACTTGAATAAATAAGGCTTGCCACTGCCTCCCTTTCCTAAATATGTGACGAGACCACTTACAAAAACACTAGTCATGCTTATCTTATATAATCTTGCAGTAACTCAGTGGGTCAGGGGTCCCTGAGGGCTGGTCTCTGACCAGGCATCCTGTGATGGGGATAAGTCAAGAGAGCCTGGTGGGTCATAAGAATCCTGTGTGGACCATATTGTAAAATTATTATTAGCCAGTAGAAACTTGCTACTGGAGCGACTGAGAGTCTGGCACTATACTCAATGCTTTGTTTCCCCCAAATTGATTCTTTACCACCCCACAAAAGTGGGTAGTGATAATGTTAATGTGATTTTTGTGTGTGCTGCAAACTATGTTAGTAAAGCAAAGATACACTGACCCAGTCACTACAACAAGGGACTTTTATACAGTGGGACATTGAGGGACTTTTTATACTGTGATGCTTGCATTTTAGAATTAATACAAGATTTGTCTTGAACAGTATACTGGATATTCTCTAAGCGTTAAAACTTTATTTGCATACATAAATTATGCTGATGAATTCAGTAACAATCCGTTTGTGTATTATGCTTGCACATAATAGCAGGAGTGCCTTGGATATCACAGTATGGTATATTACTACAGGTACTTGAAATTACCAACTTGAATAAAATTCATCTTTCAATAAACACCTTAATATTTCTTACGTATCTCTTACTTTACCCACTTACTAGTTTTATAACAAAAACATGGAGAGACAATAGAATCATTTGTATAATTTCTTTATTGCTATTTTTCTCTTTAGCTCTCTTTCATCCATACTGAAAACGTCATCGCAATGGGCATGGAGGGCTTGAATATTGGTCGTAGTGGAACCTTAGCTTGGCTCAGTGCTGCAACTTCAACTGTGATATTCCTCTTTGATATGGCTAAAATGGGACCTTCAGAGGCTTTTCAAGAAGGCTTGGGAGATATTATTGAAGATAGCACCATCTTGAAAGTTGTCCACGATTGCCGAGCAATTGAAGACATGCTCCACCACCAGTTCAGCATTAATTTTAATAATGTGTTTGATACTCAGGTCAGTTATATGGTATAAAAAAATGAATTACTGTACTCAAATGTGCATATATTCCTCGCTTCTTAAAAGAATTGATATATCTTTTCCGATTTTATTCCTCATATATTTCTCACCATTAACATACCTGGGGGAGTGATACTGTATGTTTAACCACTGCCACAGATTAGGATGATTTAAACATTTGTTTTTTACTTTAATCTTGTAAGTTATACTATTGTACGGGTTATATGTTTTTAGAGTGAAATCTGGAATTGAGCAAAAGGTTTCTTTCAGGCTGCTGAAGTGTACATATACATGTTGAACCACCGTGGATCTGTACCGTGCTTTGTGTCAGGCTTGCCTTCCCTTCTGGTCCGTTACTTGGGTCTATCACCTCACCATCTCTTCTTTTCTCACGTCCGTCAGGAATGTGCTCAGGTTAGTTGATGTTTATAAGTATTAAATACAAATTAGTTAATATATTACCAAATTGTTCTTTTTATGTTGATTTCTTTTGCCTGAACATAAAGTTGTATATCATTTGTTGTGAAAAATGTTATATTTTGGATAAACATTCACTTGAAGACCCCTAAATTGAGAAGGTAGTCTGTTACTTGTTTGCCAAATATAAAGCATCTGCCCATAATAACCATTTTGGTAAACTTCTTTATTCTGATGATTGGGGGGGGGGATGTTCATGTCTGCTGTCATAATATATTGGTGGTTCTCCATCAGTCTCAATAAACACACTGCCTATTTCAAGATAAAAATAAAAAAAAATCCATAAATTTTATTAATGGTTTGGATATATGTGCATAGATAATTGTCTGAAGATTTAAAAAAAAGTAAAAGTGGTCTTTTCTAGGTCCATTCCTGTTTAATTTTGTGTCAATTTTATTGTCAAATACTTTCCAGACTTCAGGGCAGGTGATTGGTTTCTATCAAAATTCTCATCAGACACACATTTGAGTTTAACATATAAATAGCAGTGTTAAGAGCTAATACTTTTTATATTTACTTTTTATTTTGAGCTGCATTATCAACATATCTCATGTTCTGATTGATGATAAAGAGCAGACATTAGTCTAGTATTATATTCAACGTTACAATTAAAAATGTGTTGGAAGCATATGGATATCATACAAGTGCAATAAAGTTGGGCAAACTTCTGGAAAGCAGATGCGAGAGTGCTGGCAGTGGCGGGAGCCCCACTCGATAAGGTGGTCACCTGAACATTGGAGGTAGGCACAACAGAGCCTGGTCATCAGGTATAAGTCGCAGTACCCAAGGGCAGTGCCTTTTGGTGATGAGAGGAACCTGAACATATGGTTAAGTGGGGGCATGAAAGCATCAAAGAGGGTATTAAAGATACCCTACCAAGGAAATACACCTGGGGGGCAAAATGAACCAAAAAGGGGAGAACAGACTTGAATGGTCAGAAAACCTCGATACAGACCATGGAAGTACTCACCTAGTTGTGCTTGCCTGGGTTGAGCTTTGGCTTTTTGGTCCTTCCTCTCAACTGTCAATCAACTGGTGTACAGATTCCTGAGCCTATTGGGCTCGATCATATCTACGTTTGAAACTGTGTATGGAGTCTGCCTCCACCACATCACTGCCTAATGCATTCCATTTCTTTACTACCCTGACACTGAAAAAATACTTTAAAATGTCTCTGTGGCTCCTGTAGATACTCAATTTCCACCTGTTCCCTTGTTCATGTTCCATCCATGCTAAATAGTTTGTTTTTGTCCACCCAGTTAATTCCGCTGAGAATTTTGTAGGTGGTGATCATGTCTACCCCCCTAGCTCTTCTGTCTTCCAAAAACGTGAAGTTTAGTTCCCTTAGCCCGTTCCTGTAGAAGTGGAACGGAAACAAGGCATGCAGCCGAGGCATTATATACATGTACAATCACCATTTTGATAAAAAATGTAAAATAATTATAAAGTATTTTGTTCTCACCAAGCTAATGAGATATTTAATAACAATATGATGTGGGAAAGCATAGAATAACTGTGGCTTGGAAACATTTCCACATCTGTTTTGGCAGTTTTGTGTGTGCATGTTTTGAATTGAAAGAAATTCCACTGTTGAAAGTGGAAAATTTGGTAGTGCCCACCTATCAGTTACTCTGGCAGGAGTAAGATACAGCTCTTTATACCTAGCCCTCCAACCTGCTGCCCTAATTACCTCTCTCTTAACATTAATGTTTTTATCATCTGCATGTGCGTAATGCTTTTGGCAAGATATATAGCACATAAATATTACCTTAATTTACCCCATCATTATCATCACTAGGATGATGAGTCAGTATGGATGGAACGTCCTCTCCCGACTCATCTGTGTGATGGACTGGCCCGGAATGTTATGTACCTTCGGGAGCTACGGTTAGAGCTGCTCGACCTCATACTTGTTGACCTGGCTCAAGTCACAAATTTGTATCTAGGCGCTATACGTGACAAAGATTCCACTGCTGCAAAGTCTGTAAGTTACAATGTAGTTATTTAGCCAACATTCTAATTCCTTAAGTAAAACAATAATGTCAGAAGTAATTTATTTGTAATCAATATTGAATGCAAAAAGAACTTAATGCCATAAAAACAAAGGTTATATGTAGTAGCAAGGTAGAGTTTGTAGAGCAATGGACGTTAACGTGTACAGAACTAGTCGCTACTTTATAGAGGTCTATTTTAGCCAAATATCCTCAGTCAACTAATTGTAGGTAGTAAATGTGGGTGTTTGTAGCTTTCCCACTGCTACCAACTAGAAAGGTGGAGGGGGTGCAGGGTGCATGATAAACATATCAAATTAGGAAATTAGTTCCTCACCACATATGTAAGTAGCTTAGCTTAAAGACTGTACTTGTTGTTGTTCTTGAACCCATTGTTGATATAAGAACATACACTAAACTGTGTAACTAGCTTATCAAGATTGTACCTTAACTAAATGAATTTTTGGGGCTCAGTCCCTGAGCCCATCATGTGCCTCTGTAACCTTTTCCTCATCCATGCACAGGATGGGTATAGGGTACATAATAAATGAACTAAACTAACTCTAGTGTAAGATAAATATCTATAAGAGTGGATGACATCTTCAGGGTTGTAGTTATCCGTATGAAAGTGTGAATAATTATCTTGGGTACATGTTATTATAGGTCACAAAACTTCAAAGAATGGGTCACAAAGTTATGACACTTACTGAGCATAATTAAAGACTTCATAATGATTGCAAATGTATACACCAGCAATGGAATAAAGCATGTTTTGTATTCTATATAAATATAGATTGAGAGACCTGTAGTCACTTTAATCATTCCCAGTAATCAAGATGGCTTATTTAATGGATTCTAGCTGTAAAGGATTTACCCAGAGAACATTTTGAACATTGACGGTGTCTTCAATCTTTTTCCCAACAAATATAAGAAATATTGCTGATATGAAAGTGGATGTGTTTAACAAATTAAATGTTTCTCCTGATGATCTCCAGTCGGGTTGTAATTTACCTGAGGGCCACTATCACTAGTGGCCTTGACAAGGACAGGAAGCCAGTGTCTTGTCAAAGGTTCCCCCCCCCCCCATTTATTTGTCTTGATGATCTTTTCCAGTTGGACTACAAAATTTAAGTTTTTCTACATTTATGGAGTGCTTGATATTTTGAGCTACACACATTAATAACTGGATGGATGCCCACTACTATCATTTGGATATTTATGATAATAGTACTTAATAGTTAGATGGGATTATGTTATGTTTTTTTTTTATTATTACTGCCTTGAATCTTTGAACATGTGTAATAGCCCAGTTAAATTCTCATCTGTTCATTAATGTGTTGAAAATATTAAAATTAATTTTCAGCATTTGATGTTAATCAAAGTTTAAATACAAATAATCAGAGTTTTTATTCTTTCTGAAGGGGCCTCGGTGGCCTCTGTACTGAGACAGCTCCACACCTCCAAGTCACATCAGCCCTTACTAGTCCTTTAATAGCCTACCAGAGGTTAAAACATGGGCCCCTTACAAAGGAACAGGGGATTCATGATCACCCTCACCGAAGAAACAAACCTCAAAAAGGCAGCAAATCAAAACAAACAACTGCAAGGTACACATTGTGGAAAACATTTTGGCAAAAGATCTATCTAATAGTTGGGTCATACCCTCCCCTACTCCATAGTACCAGCTGGCAATTGCCAGGAGCTACTAGCTTCCCATGTCAACAATCATCATTCCTTTGCCTGATGTCACACTTCATTTCTTCAGGAGTCTCCAGCTCTTCAGGTCACAGATATTCTGAATAAGTGTACTAGAATAAGTGTTGAACTCTATTCTGTGGGAGCCCATTTTCTTGTGTATCGTTTAAATTGTTAATACCTGTGCTGTATTTGCTTCACCTGCACGTCTTACAAGCCTCACTTGGTGTGTGGACTTTGAAAACTGTTCACCTCGCAGTGCATGTGTTTAGAGCAGCCCTTCTCGAGGTGTTCATTTGGTGTTGCCCCTTCCTAGACAAGGCTGCTTCCCTAGTGGGATGGAATGTTTGTCCCATTGAGGCTTTGAGGTTGGGTGCATTCTGGGTTTATTGATTAAGGGGTAAACTAGGGTTTGCATACACAAAGAAATCACAATAACGTGATATATCAAATGAACAAGTCCACAAGGGCCTTGAGGAGAGTTCGAACCTATGCACGGGATGTTCCCAGATGCACCTTAGTCAACTGTACCACCACATGGTAAAGATTTGCAACCTGGAATGCTACTGCCCTTGTTAGGATCCCGAAGCTTCTCTGAAGCACAATTGGGGTTTCACACAATTCCCCCATGCATTCGAGCTGTCAACCAAATGTTTTACTTCTACTTCAGTACGCACACAGCTCTGGTGCAGCCTGGATGTGTTGGCTTCAGTGCTGAGTGCTTACCTATCAGTGTTGCTGCCTTGTTACCTGCAGTTCCAGCTTCAGTGACTTTGCCCCAGTTGCTCACTCCACTCTTTTGGGAGGCCATGGCGGACTTTATTCTGTCCTGTCTCACGTGTTGGCATACTGTACTTGCCCAGGCTGTAGATTCAACTTTGATCTCTTACACTTTTGTCCATCTTCCCCCTTTCATTCCTCCTCCTTCCTGAAGAGGTTGTCTCTGTTGATGTTGGTTGCTGCTACTGCATCCCAGCCAATCAGTTGTATTCTTTTGCAGAGAGGTTGTCCCCCTTTGCTTGGAGGCAGCTCTTCTGGGGTAGGGTATTGCTTGTTGTTGGTTGGGATAGGCTACCATTAGAGCCAAATTCTTGGGCCATTGCATTTCCTTTGACTTTTGCCTCGTCTAGTCAGTGTTGTTATTGGGCAATGTTGAAGGGTGCTTCCACTCGGCAGGTGTTCGTCTGTGGCCTTAAATCGGGTTTCTCATCCTAATCTCTCTTCTTTGAGGGTGTGAGTGTTACTCTCCTCCCTGATAAGTTCTGGTTTTCTTCTTCTCCATGGCTGATTAACTTCAGCGAGCCACCATTCAGCCCCTCCCCTACTACCAGGTGTGTCGGTCTGTTGTCCTAGATTCTAGATTGAAGAATGTCAGTGTGGGGAGCCAGACAGCTGTTATTAAGAGGGGTTTGAACCGACTACTAGGCGGCGGATTGTTTGTAGAGTCATTTCCACTTCATTTCTTTGCAGTTTTGCTTTGCCTACTTTAGGGATGATTTTTTTTTTAAGTTGATAGTTCTGTATTCCTTGCACCTCTCTCTCTCTCTCTTGAGGGGGAACCAGGTTTTGGCTCTGGCTTCCAATAGGCTATTTAGGACTCCTAGGGTTGATCTGATTCATTTGTGGAGCTATCTGTGTGTGGCAAGTTTCAGAGAGCCACCGAGACTCATCCAGAAAGAGGCATTTCACAAATTCTGCCCTGGATTTTTATAATTATAATTTGTATTTTTGCTTTACAGCTTGAGCCTCATGTTGTTCCAGCAGAAGTTCAGAGGCTCGCCCGCCGCTCTGTCATCAACCATGTTGGTGTGTATGACCCATACATTACATACTCCAGAGATGCATTAAAAATAGCTCCACAAAGAAAGTAACAGAGATACATTTTACTTCGTGGTTGAATTTTTTTTAATCTTTGCACACTCCTAAGATAGTCAATATTCATAGCGGTGTCTGAAGTTCTTAACATGTGCTTCAAGTTTTTTTTAGTGGATTTTCATCACGACTGTTTAGTTAATGTTGATGTGTGGCCACTCTCAAGGATGGAGAGCTCTCAACTGGATACATGTGTTAGTGCATCTCAAGTTCTATTAGTAAAGTGGGAATTTTAGTCATTTTTAAGACTGTGAATTTGTCTGATATTCAAAAAAAATTCCACAGGAATAAACAAGAACATGATTTACTTTTGTTAATTTACATTTTTGAAAGATTTGAAATCTATATCTACAATAGAGAATTTCTGTGTCTTTTTTTGTGTCTCAGTCATACACTGGAGGCCAGATGCATGTGGCTAGCCTTCCCAACTCTCACACATGAAGCAAGAGGGGAATGGGAGTGTCATAGGTCAGTTAGGGTCGGCACCAGTGCCACACTTTTAAGAAACACTGGCATCTAACAATCTTACTCCCCCCCCCTCCATGTGATTTTCATGAAGTCAAGTTTTAAATATTGGTTGTGTTGTCGATACGAGTATTTAGCAGTTTAAGTTTTTCGTTGCATAATTTTTCTGAGTGGAACGAAAAGGGAGGAGAGGGAAGGAGAATGGTTCAAAGGGGGGAAGGAGAAGGGAGATGTTGGGAGAGAAAGAGAGTAACGATGAGGACCATCATACATATACGGACTTGTAATTAGAAAGTAGAAATCGGGACAAACCGAGAAAGGTTTTTGTACTGATATTGCAAAGAAAACTTAACTGAACTTTCCTAGGCCTAATACATGCTATCTGAGGCCTAATATAATGCATATATATGCTATACTAGGCCTAGGAATATTTAAGTTTGGTTTTTAGTTTTTTCAAGACTATAAAGTGACTAGCAGTACCAAATTCTATTTAATTGTCCATTACGTCTATGTACAGAATGTACGATGGTACACAGTTACAAAATGTATCATCTAAACAGGAGGGTTGCTGACCAAGGCTGGAACACAGAGCATTGGGTCTAGTGTAACATTGCTAGGTGACAAGCAATGTTGCACAAAAGGGTTGCCTTTTGTGAAGCCCTTCACCAAGTTGGTAGATATGAAATGTTCTGCCCCTAGTCCATAGATTTTAGCACTTCTTCAAATATTGACTTGCAAAATGTGTGTGTTCACATGAGATTTATGTTTTGGGTGACATGTTTTGGTTTGGTTTGGGAGCTGGTTGGCCGAGTGGACAGCACGCTGGACTTGTGATCCTGTGGTCCCGGGTTCAATCCCGGGTGCCGGCGAGAAACAATGGGCAGAGTTTCTTTCACCCTATGCCCCTGTTACCTAGCAGTAAAATAGGTACCTGGGTGTTAGTCAGCTGTCATGGGCTTTTTCCTGGGGATGGAGGCCTGGTCGAGGACCGGGCCGCGGGGACACTAAAGCCCCGAAATCATCTCAAGATAAGATGATGATAGTGTTGGAAGTAGTGTATAGTAAAGATGGGTAGTGTTGAGGGATAGACAGAGATGGGTAGGGTGTAAAGATGTTTAAAGTGATGACTGTATTGAAGATAGTTATGGTGGTGGAGGGGATTTGGAAGGGTGTGTGGGGGGAGAGACCTGGGCGCCAGATCAATTCCAGCACCTCTGGGTACTCCATCTAATTTCTTATAAGAAGAACATGTACTCTTTCCATAGATACCATGAAAACCATTCAAACTTTAAGATATAATGGAAAGAAAAACATTTATTGAATCATTCATATTTATTCAGTATGAATGATTCATATAAAAAATGGGTCTAGTAACTCAATATCAGGCCATTCATATTCCAAGTGTATAGAAAACCATTGTAAATTAAAAAAAAAATAAGCATGCTAAGGAAGTTTGAATGTCTTAGAATAAATTGCAGGCAAATATATATTTGGCTCCCCTTGTATGTTGATTTGGGTCATTTTCTTTATCTATGGTTTATTATTTATTACACATTAAAAAGGAAAGCTCTTTTCATATTTACTTTTAATAATAAATAAATAAATAAATGTTTATTCAGGTAAGGTACATACAAGAGATTTTACAAAAATTGATTGATTTATAGATAGAGCTAGTACATACAATGTCTAAAGCCACTATTACGCAAAGCGTTTCAGCCAGGAATCATTTTAATCATTAAATGATAGATAATTGTGATTTGTGGTATCCATATGCAGGCGATGAGTCACAATAACATGGCTGAAGAATGTTGACCAGACCACACACTAGAAGGTGAAGCATATATATTTATATGTGCTTGGTAATTTATATATAATTTAGAAATGCTTTTCTAGACGTGGACTCTGGTAACTTATCACATTGTAGGACATATTTGGCAGTCCCCTCTCACAGTCAAAGGATTGAAAGGTATGCTACTTAAAGCTCAGAAACTTGGTACAGTACTGCCATACAAGTTAATATGGAAAGATGGATAGACATATGAGGGGGCCTGATAGCTGAGTGGACAGTGCTCTGGACTCATAATCCTAGGGTCCGGGTTAGAACCCCCAGTGATTGCAGAAACAAAATGAGCAGTTTCATCCTGATGCCCTCGACAGTTGAGAGGTGGGCCGAAAGAGCAGAGCTCATCCCCCGCAAGCACAACTAAGTGAATACATAAATGGGCAGGTGGAAGTAAGGAAATGACATTCCTTTGAAGATGACTTGATTCCAAAACTCATGAGATCTGACATTGGACCATTATGTAGATGAATATTACAGTACAGAAGAAGATAAGCCTTCTTGAGGTTATTTTGAGATGATTTTGGGGCTAAGTATCCCTGTGGCCTGGTCCTTGACCAGGCCTCCTTTTTGTTACCACCAGGAAGCAGCCTGTAGCAGCAGCCTAACTCCCAGGTACCTATATACTACTAGGTGAATAGGTGCATCAGGGTGAAAAACTCTGCACATTCGTTTCCACCTCCACCGGGGATTGAACCCAGAACCTCAGGACTACAAAGTGCTGTCCACTCAGCTATCAAGTCCTAGCTATGTAAAGTTCAGGAACATATTTTATATAAACCACTAACAAAAAATAATAATTATCACTGGAAAAACCGATACAGTAGATCCTTATTGACAAAAAGTTTCCATTTTGTAATCTATGAATACTTCCGACATATTCAAAATGTGAAAATGAAGGAGAAATTAGAGAATACTGTAGTAATTTGCTAAGTTATATACTGTACTTTCCATAGTTACTGGATGTCAAATATTTGGGCCAAGTACAGTACTGTATGTACAGTAGATGCATTGGAAATAAGTCATAATTATGTAAATAAAACTATGGTCTGAGATGTGTTACATGACAGGGCGGTTTCTGTGCTTGCAAGGTTAACATATGTTATTTTGACTAAGTATTATTTCTAATAAAAAAAATATCAGTATTCAGTTGACTAGAATAATGAGTTTTTTTTTGTTTTATCATGTAACATCATCTTGTGTAGCCTAAACCACACACCAGATGGAGACGACGACGTTTTGGTTCCTCCTCGACCACTATCACGTCGATGGTCCAGGACGGACCAAAACGTCGCCGACTCACCATCTTCTGGCCTGTGGTTGGGTCATCATATCTTCAGCCATGTTATTACTCATCGTTTGCATTATCTTGTGAAGCTATAAAAGGTAAATGATAATTCTCCATACTTAATGAAATGCACTACTGTACCCTTCATCATCAGTGAAGATAAAACATGTGTAATGATGATATAAATAATAATTGTACCTTACCAACAAAGATCTTACTTTACAGCTGGATCAAATCTTGGTAATTTTTCTCTCCTCCTCCCTCCTCTTCCTCTCAGAAGTTTACTCTTCCATGTAAGGTCAGTTTTATGTGGTCAGTTTAAAGATGTTGCAGATTTTCTGGTGCAAAATATTTGATCTTTTGTATTTGATTGATAAGTACAGTAATGCTGTGTACTTAAGTTAATAAATAAAGTTGTTTATGTAGTATGTTGATAATGCCAAGTACAAACCACATTACATCATTTTGAGACATTGTATAAAAGTTGAAGAAAGGCAGTATAAGCTCCTGTAAAAGGTATATTACAGTACATATCATTTTGATCAAGTGCCTATCTTTGGCAGCCAATTACACATTTTTATAACATGCCTTCCTGTGTACTGATGATCAAACAACGCATCAGAAGATGAGGAAAAGACAACATTAAGGTCCATCCTGGACCGTTATCAAGTTGTATGTCACATAAGATTTGATAATGGTCCAAGATGGACTGAAACGTCATCGTTTCTTTATCTTCTTATATGTGGTTAGGTCATCATATCTTCAACCACATTATTGTGACTTATCGTCTCCTCTGTACTGCTTTCTTCAGCGCCCTCAAAATATTCATAATATTAGTGTGACCTTACTGGAACAGATCACTGTGGACCGGAACCCATGGTGGGCCGGAAAGAATTTGTTAACAGACAAACACTTTTTGTCCATATTTCATATTTTTCAAATTTTTTGCTATTCTGTTGTCTTAGTATAGTATTTCTTTACTTTAATGATTAATAAAAATTGTGTAATGGAGTTACTGACTTTTTTGTTTTGGGTGTAACCCTAATTGTGACCAGATGTGACTAGATATGTCCTGGTCAGGTTCCCCCCCCCACCCTTGGTAATACTGCAGCAGTGTTTCTCATGATCTGATTTTTAACCATATTTTTGTTGTTTGATTTGCTGGTTAAAAAGATGTCTACCAATAATAGTAGTCAGAATATAGCAAAAGGGGAAGAACTATTAAAATAACATTGAATGTAATAAAATGCCTCTTTCTGGCGTGGTCCCCCTCAGTAGCTTCATAAGGTAGCTAGCTGCCTGATTAGCGTAAAGCCTAGAGTGCCCAACCAGGCCCTAGTGAGTCATGAGTGCAGAGTGCATACCAATGACCAGAAGCTAGTTGCAGATAGGCTGGAAGCCCATACCAGCCAGTCATTGAGGTAGGCTAAAATGCAGGAGAAAGGAGAACCATGACCTGCATCAAGCTTGAAAAGCTTGGCACCTGATTTAAAGCAAATGAAAGAACCTTGGAGTGGTAACAAAAAATCCCACAAGAACTCTAGCCAGTGTTTGAACCTTGGAGGAAGAGGAATGCAAAAATGATCCCAGAAGGGCTATGGTCACAACTAGGGTGATGACCCAGGAAGCAAGGTGGACCAGACAGAGAGGCATGCAGAAGGGAGAGTAGGGAAGTAGTTGCACAGACCCAAGAGAACGTGAACCCGCTGAAGACCCTACTGTCTGTTCTTTAAAGGAACAGAGCCCTGCACCTTGCTGTCCCTCTGTCATGGGCCACCTCTTAGAATGTACTGATTTTTTTGGCTGATCAAAAATCTTGTCTTCTCAATGTACCTTTTGAGTCTTTGACATCTTGGTTAGTACAGTACAGTACTAGTACTATTTTGTGCCATAGACATTGCTAAATAGTCTTTCACGTTTTATGCCTTTGGATAATTAATATTTTTTATCAAATTGGTTGCATAAAATTAAACTTGATACATAGGATAAAAACCCACACTTATGTATTTTTTAAATGTATGTAAAGAATTGCACAAAAGTCTTTCCTCTCTTGAGTGCTTTGTCAAGGTCTGAGTATGTGGTCAGGGCGAGACTAGCATCTCAACTGCTAATGTCGTCGAGATGTAAGTCTTGTCCTAACCACATGACCAGATCTTGACAAAGCGCTCAAGAGAGTGTGAAAGACTTTGTGTAATTCTTGACATAAATTTCACAAATACATAAGTGTGGGTTTTTAGGTTTTTATCCTTTGTTATGATGTGAGAAAACATTAGCATTACTTATTAAGTTTGATTGTTATTACTAGAAGCTTAATATTCATCATTTTCATTTAATGTGATGGGCACAGTAATTTGTAAACATGAATGCCTTAATTCTTCATATTATATAGATAATTATATTTGTTATTCTAATTTTAAAAATAACCACAGCAGCACCAAAATTAATTCCACTCTGCTACATTAAAAATGTCAAAAGCTTGAACTTAAAAAATTGTCATCCAAACAATGTTTACATATCACTTCCATTAATCAGCTTTGGAAAGACTTATCTATTGCTGGCTTAAACCTTTGTTACATAGTACCTTCAGTAATAGTCCTGTGGATGTAATCAGTCTCAGTACAGCAATGTATGGTTTTCTTCACTTCAATATTTTAGCAAATAGGATAAAATTATAATTTATATGTTTTCTGAGAGCAAGTGCTACTTGCTGAACATAAATGAATCAACGTAATGCTTGACATAACAAATATTAATATCACCCAAATAACACATTTGGACCACATATTATTTTTCAAAGGATATAAAAAACATGAAATTTGTTATTATTTTTTGCAAATTACAGATGAACATAACTATTTTCCTTCCAAACCTTTGTTTAGAAAATGATTAATAAATGGATTATGACATTTGTAATATCACCCTAGGATCAAACTTAATCATCTAAATGTGTTCATTTTGTTTGTATTCACAATACAGAATTACCTAAATGACTAAAACTAAACATAAACTAAATCAAAATAGCACACAGTTTTATGATAAAGAAGGATATTTTGTTTTATGATAATAAAAACATTTTTATTTTATGAAAACACAGGTTTCATATAATATGAAAATATTTGTCCCATTAAAATTATTATGAAAGACATTAAGTCTTGAGGTACACACACACACACACAGATGGATATACTGATAATATATGTTAAAGTATCTATATTTCTTATATATATCAGAACAGTACTTTACACAGTAGCATAATATTTTATACAATATATATTCAGTATATGGGGCAGTCACTAGTGATTTTTTAATCAGTTGTATATGCAAAATACAGTTAAAGCGAGTAAATTATACAATATGCTTTGGCAGCATTCACAAACCAGCTACTCTTTCTCACACACATTTTGCACATTTTCTCAATATTTCTCTCACCCACATACACACTCCCTGCTATCACAAGAGCATTAATTGTCATACTGCAGCATGGGCAAGACTTTTCTGTCAACATGAAGGTTTTTTGCACTTAATCGAGGGATTGATTTTGTAACAACAGAAACTTGCACAATGAGAGAGATACTTGGTGCATATATGACTTTCATAAATATACAGTACAGTGTACTGTCTATATGACTTAAATATTTATACTGTACATATTCTATTGCACATTAACTTAATTTTTTTGTAGCTATATATATTTACTTACCATTGCCAAACCAACAATTTATGAAGTAATGAAACAAAAAGAAATTTTACATTAGGCACTTTCAAGTTCTGTGATCGCTAGACGTGTGCATCCTTTTCAGTCAGTTACCAAATTTAAGTATACAAAATTACCAAGATTGTTGGTAATTAGCATACTTTCAAGTGTCAATGTTATATCCTGCATATCTATAGTACCACTTGCAAAATTTCCAACTTGTCTCATAGGTCTGCTCAAAAACAATAGCTGCAGCCTGCATCATTGTCGGTAAACAGTGAGCCTTCATTCCCAGTAGGATATATATTACAGGTAAATCTCAATGTGTGGGGATTTCTGAGTATTGATTGCATTCCAGAAACCTTTCAAAACCAAATTAGTTTTTCCCCCTAATACCAAAAACTATAGAAGCTTATTGGCAGAGGGTAGGTAGGTTTGCACAACTGTGCCCAATCAGTTACAGTACCTCCCGTGTTTGGTCTAGCTCAGGCAGATTGGCATTTTTTTATTATTGATTCTTCAAATAAGGGAAAAACAAATAGCCACAGACTAAGGGAGTTTGCATGGAATGAGTCAAAATTCAGGAATAACACATACATCACTCAACTGTCATCAAAAATATCAAAATGTGTCAATTACTAAGCAGTAGTTTATAGGAAGGGGGAGAAATCCAATAGAATTGTCTTATGTTGTCCATGGAGAAATAATCACAGAAAAGTGATTTGGTTATATGTAAGATTCCACTAGGAAAATTAAATGACAATTCTAAACTTTTTGTGTCTCACCACATTATCAAGGAATACAGAATAATGTATTCCTTGATTAATGTGGTGAAAATGTCCATTTTTTTTTTTTTTACCAATGAAAACTTGGAAAGACATGGAGAGTGGGGCAAGAAGAAAGCACGAGGTGTATTTGTGTGTGTGAGACCAGCATGGCCTCTAAGAAAGAGACCAACTATCAAAACCAGCCACAGGATCACGAGTAAATGTGCAAAATTGCCCCACTAGTCAACCATATTATTATAAATCTAATATATTTGGGTGCAACTGACCATGCAAATGAGCTTATTAGTAATGCAGATTTGTAGTAAATACCTAGCTCCTGATTGTTAATTTTGCAAATACCAGAGTTGTGGATAGCAAGACATGACTGTACTGTATTATAAGAACAATTTGTGCCTTTTCATCATCAAAGAGAACAAATAAGTTTTTTGAGTAAATGAGAAGCACCTTTCTGAACAATGTAATTTGATCTCCATGTTAGTATCGACTGTCTTGCTAGGAACTGAATTATTGCACACACTTAAGTAGGGTGATATTTTAATTCCACTGAAAACTTTTCTAGGGGTTCTTGCAGGAACCCTGGGAGATACCATACAGCTAAACTGTCCCCTAAAAAGTCCTTCTAAGCCCTTCTTGGCATTGCAGACTGCCAAGGAGTGACCTAATGTTATCTTGGCTAGCACTATGTGGCAGCACAATACCTGTAGTCCGTTCAGATAATTTTACCTCCCACATCCAGTCTTAGGCTAGGCTTATCTTATCTACATATCTAGATACTTAGGTCTGCAGACCTACATATCTACTACAACTTGGTTGGGTCTGGCACTTCCTGCAGAAACTTAGTTCTACTGTCTGTTGAACACCTTCACTTGTGTTCCATCAATACAGTATTTCTTATTGGAGGTTAAAGGTTGAAGATATCTCTGATGTTCATAGTGTTTCCTGATTTTGTCTATGTGTCTCTGTTGAATTTCCAGTCTTTTTACTCCAGTAAATTATTTTGTTTTGTATATTTAGAACCTGGCATTCCAGTATCTTCCATGTTATATGATACCTCTCTTGTCTCTCTCTTTTCCAGAGAGTACAATTTGAGTGCTTTTGAGAATGTCTCAACAATTTAGGGGGTTTTATCATGGCGACATGTCATATATATTTTCTGAATTCCCTGTACTTCAGAAATCACTCCAGCCTTGAAAGGGGGAAGTGAGTATCAAGCATTATTCATGGCTGGAATGGAAAGTCCAAGTGATTTTAAAAGTAGGAACATTGTGGTGGAATACCTGGACTTGAAGGTTCTCATCCTCCATCTTTAGCATTTTCCTGGATGCTGCTGCATTTACTGAGTTTTGATGAACTTTGGTTTGTCTGACATCTTCATTCCCACATCCTTTATACAGTATATCATTTTCCTTCTATGAGATCTGATTGCATATTGTATCCTATACTCCATTTAAGTTCTTTGTTTTTATATCCAAGTACAGTACAGTACTTTGTATTTCCATATAAACATAAGAGTTCCAGAAGTTAGGACCTGGGGCTAGGTACATTATTTTGTTTTGTTTTCAATGTCTCTCAAAGTCTTCTGTGCTTGTAAGATAAGGTAATTATGAGGAGTAAGTGCTCAGCCAGTGTGACTGCAGCACTTGAAAGAGACTATTGGTGCATTTGTGCTAATACCAATTATTGTGCATTGTTCAAGTTGTGAAGCTGTCCACATCTTGCTTTTTTCAGTTCATCATTTTCTTTGTTGAACTCTGCATCAAACTTACTTTTTTTTAACGTATATATAGCTAGCAAGTATAGGTCCAATACTGGTGAAGGATTTTTTGTTATTAAAGTATACGTGAAAATTTACTTTGGATTTTTTGTCTTGCATGTCTCTTCCATTTACATTTCTTCAGTCTGGGATGATTTCTTCAGCTTCTGTTTTATATATTTCTTTAATATGCTTTAGATTACACTTTCTTCATTTGGATATTCATGCCTGCTTGTGCATCTCTGCTATTCTTTTTTTAACTAACAGCCCTCTTTTAGTGTTCAAAAGGGAACTTTTGAAATGTCTCCAAAGGGTACCTAATTTTCCAGGCTGTGATTTATGCAGCAGTATCAAACAGCCTGGCTGACCAAACTTTCAACAAACCAGACCATGGAAACATTGAACTTGGAGCCACATCAAGGTAAGGTAGTCTACTCTCTCTGTGAGCTACCATAGTAACATATTTAAAGTAGATTTTTATGCTTTGTATATGCAAAAGGTTTTTCCCATGCTAGCAGATTCTGACTAAAATACACCACAAAAAAAATGGATAGCAAATGAGGGAATAAGAGCAGTAAAGTGACCTGCTCTGAAAGTTTTTAGTTTACTATACACTCAGTATATTTTCTCAGCTATCCCACTTGATTGTGACTTAGTATAACTCTTATAGGGAAGAAACTTCCTGATGGGTTAGAAAACTTGTCACTGAGTAGTCTAAAGGATGCTACAGGGTAGAGTCAACTTACAGGTGTGAACAAAGTTTGCACTTTGAAGGCTAATGGGAGGACAGACTGCCAAGAGCAGCAAGGGTGGAATTGAACCTCTAGACCCTCTGGCTTTGTGGGTGGCATATACCTGTAATTAATGTAACTGTTTAACTACCATGCAAATTGGCTAGGATATTCATGCTTTGGTACACAGGACCATGGTTTACAATGGTTTACAAACTATCTGATGCCATCTGCCCAGATGACCAACTCCTATCCACAGGACAGTGGATATGGGTCCAAGGTAATATGGATGTGAACAAAATAGACTTCCAGACCAAAAGAAATAGAACTACAAGCAATAATGAATGTAATTCACTCTGCTGCCTGTAGTAAGTTCCAGAAGGAACATCATTCCAAATTCTAAAGTACATGAATATTTGCAAAATATCAGACATACCTGAAGAGAGGAATTCCAACTTTAAAGTGGGAGTTCATTGGAACCCACAGTGGAGCTTTGTGGCTTCCAATGTTGCACAGTAAGGACAAATTAATGGAGGCCTTAACAAGTTTAAGAAAGGAAGGCCAGAGATTGATGACAAAGTTAAACAGGAGAGGCTTCAATAATGCTGAGCTATACAAAGCAAGATTATTTGGCATGATCCACATTCCAAAAATAGCCAGGAAAGGAATGAGCAAATGATTGCTGCAGGGAGGAGACAATTGCCATAAGGGCCATGCCATCCTGGAGTCGAGCGAATGTCCAGAGTGCCCAAAGGACCCTTACTATAAGCTTCATTTGAGCCCCATTGATCACAAGTTTGGAACCTAAGAGTTGAATGGCAGCTGGGATAAACAGATGCTGGATCACAGATAACCACAAGCCAAAGGCCACCAGAAAAAAAAAGTCATGACAATAGCACAACCCAAAATATTTAAGTTTCCAAGTTAAGAGGCTAAGAATACCAAGCAGCAGTAGTATGGTGTCCATACCACAGAAAGCAGGTAACATTTTAAAAGACTTAAACATATGCCATTAAATAACTGTGAACCAATTAATAATAATAATAAAAAAAACTTTATGGAAAGGTTGGAGGTGCTAGATATGTTGGAAAACAAGAAAAGGGGGTGATATGATCACCACATATAAAGTTATGATGTGCATAACAAAAATCTAAGTAGGCATTTTTTAAATGCCACAACATTAAGAACGAGAATACAGATAGAAATAATAAATACAAAATTATAAAAACCATAGAAAATAAATTATTTTTTAAAGTGATAGGTGAAATATGTTGCAAGAGATGGTTGTGTGAATAAACACCACTTTGAAGTTTCAAAACTGATATGCCATAGGCTTATCTCTAGTCCTGTAGCCACACTTATTTAACACTTGAATAATTATACACATGCTAAATGCCTACTACATGCGCCGCCTCTTGACACATCTTGGACATCACCTGGCAGGACAAGGTGATAAACAACAGCGTCCTGGGGAGAGCTAGAATCACCAGCATGTACACAATGCTGAAGTAGAGACGATTGTGCTGGCTCGGGCATGTGGTGCGAATGGGCGACAGCAGGATCTCCTGTATGGAGAGCTGAAGCAGGGAAAGCATCCAACAGGTAAACTCTAGCTACGGTACAAAGACATATGCAAGAGTTACCAGAAAGCCATGCACGTCAATCTTGCTACATGGGTAACACTGGCCGCAGACTGTTCAGTCTGGGTGCAGTCTGTTCAGAAAGGTCTCTCCAAGTTCGAGGAGTTACTTGCCAAAAAATTGGAGGCAAAGAGACAGAGAAGGATAGCCGGAGCCAGGAAGACAGACCAGAATCAGACTTTGTTTGTGCTCCGTTTGAGATGGACTGCCATTCTCGGATTGGCCTCATCAGTCACACCAGACGCTGCACCAGGATTGTTAACCAGAGCCCAACTCCATAGTCTTCAGAGACTGAAGGATGCCTACTACAATTACACACATGCGCACATTAACTGAAATCTGGTCCCCACCAACAAAAAACATAAAAGACTAAGGATGAACATAAGGGAATCACTTGGTACTATCATAGGTACCTGGACTGTACCTGAATGAGGTTCTATGAGTTCTTCTCTTCAAGCCCAGCCCGGAGCCAGACTTGATTTGTGAGAGTTTGGTCTAACGGGCTGTTGCTTTTGAGTGCCCTGCAGGCAGGCCAACTAGTTTAGTGCTCTTTGGCCATTTCCAACTCCAAGGAGGGTTCAAATCTATTAAAATGGAACATTATAAGTCATTCCAGCTATATAGTATCCTCAGGGGCTTCCTAGTGCCATTATAACAGCAGACATTACTTGGAAAGTTAATTACTGTACCAGTATTAAAATGTCACCTAACCTGGCTGCATAATTCAAGTGCCTAAAAAGACTGGAAATGTACCTTAGGAAGTAGTAGAGTTGGAGAGCTCATTAGTAAGAGATTTGTACTCACCTAGTTGTGCTTACGTGAGTCGAGCTTTGGCTCTTTGGTCCCGCCTCTCAATCAACTGATGTACAGATTCTGTAGCTTACTGGGCTCTATCATACTTTACATTTGAAACTATGTTATGCATTGCATTTATTAACTACTCTGACCAAATTCTTTCTTATGTGTCTGCAATATGTGTAAGAGGTGTCTGAAATTTGTGTAAGTTCTCCGATGCTCATTGTGGTAAGTGCCATGTTAAAGATAATATAATTTGATGTCTAGCACACAAAAATACATTCTTTAACCATTTATTAAAATATACATTTAGGTAGGTACATTCAAGCAATATTTAATATTTTATCACAAATGTGATGCCCTTTAATATAGTTAGAAAGAAAGAATGGAAGTGCACGTTCAAAAAATGTAAATATTGTTACAGTATGTCATGTGCAGCCTACTTTTTTCCTCTACACAGAACAAAAATTAAGTATAAAATAGTTTAATGTTTACATAAGTAAAGCAAACCTCACTTTCCTACAAGTCACAGTGCTATTTAGGAGTAAACATCACAAATCTTTACCAATAGTAATACAGTATTAGAATTAACACTTCATTCAAGAACAGTATCAGTGAGCAAGACCTCGTCCTCTGTTGTCTGCCGACGGAACTTGGGTTGTGATATCAGGTAAACTACCAGTCCACCAAAGATAATAAGGACCAAGCCTGTCACATTAATTAGGATACCTTCTGATGAGAGTGATGAATAGTCTTTTCTGAAAATAGATTACAAAAATTAATAATTGAACAAACACTTCACTCGTGCAGTCTTGCATCAGAGAAATTAGAGAGAAAAATATAACATTTCTAAAATAATTAATTCGGAGTAGGGCAAGATCAGAAATTTAAATACAGGAGCCGTACATTATTCATAAATGTTTGTACATTTATAGTTGGGTTAGTTTACACAAATTTACAGTAAATTATTTATCTGTGTCATAATATGATATACCCATAATTATAAAAGGGAAGTATAGGGTAAGGCCACAATATTAATTTAGCAAGACGGGACATTGATGCCGAAATTTCCTCAGTTCCGTTCATTGGTGTTGTCCCTTCCCTAACCTCACTCCCTACCTGCTCCTCTCCCTTCCTGACCTCTTCCTCCCCCTCCCTGACCTCCCACCCTCCCCGACCTCACCCCCTCCCCGACCTCACCCCCTGACCTCCTCCCTAACCTCCCCCCTCAACCTTCTCCCCCCCTCCCTGACTTCACCCCCTGACCTCCTCTCCCCCCTCCCTTACCTCCCCCTCCCTGACCTCACCCACCCACCTTCTTCCCCTCCCTGACCTCACCTCCACCTCCTTGATTTCACCCCCTTCTCCCCCTCATGGAGGTGGAGGTAAGGTTAGGGAGATGGTGGGGGAGTATTGTCAGGGAGAGAGAGAGGTGAGGTCAGGGAGGAAAAGGTGGGGGGGGGGGTGAGGAGGGATGGGGTGGTGAGGAGGGATGGGGTGGTGAGGAGGGAGGGGGTGGTGGGGTGGGTGAGGAGGGAGGGGGTCAAGGAGGCTGACAATACCCTCCCCCCCCCCTCATCATCTTTCCCTCCCTGATCTCACCCCTCCTTGACCCCCACCTCCCCCCAACTTCTTTCCCTACCTGGGGGTAAGGTCAGGGAGAAGGTGGGGATGAAGTCAGGGATGGGGAGAAGATAGGACGCTGACCTCACCCCCAACCTTCCCCCCCTCCCTACCTCACCTTCTCTCCTCCCCTGCCCTGACCCACACCTTCCTCTCCCTGACCCCCACCACCCACTTCTCCTCATGGAGGTGGGGGTAAGGTCAGGAAGAGGGAGGTGGTGAGGTCAGGGAGGGGAAGATGGGGGTCAGGGAGGGGGTGGTCTGGTGTGAGGTCAGGGAGGTTGACATTACCCCCCCCCCCACCTTCTCCCACTCCCGGACCTTGCCCCAACCTTCTTCCTCTACCTGACCTACCTGGGGGTAAGGCCAGGGAGAGGGTGTGGGTGAGGTCATTGAGGGGAGAGGGTGGGGGGTCAGAGAGAAGGTGGGGAGTGGGAGAACGTGGAGGTCAGAGAGGGGGGGATGCTGAGGGGGGGGGGAGATGGTGAGGGTCGGTAGGGGGGATAATGAGGGTCAGGATGGAGGGAGATGGTGGAGGTCAGGGAGGGGGATGGTGGGGTGTGAGGTCAAGTAGGGGGAGAAGGTGGGAGCTTACCTCCCACCTTCTTCCCCTCCCCTAACGTCACCCCTAAAGTCAGGAAGGGGGTGAGGTTGGGGAGAAGGTAGGATGAGGTCAGGGAGGGGGAGGAGATGGGGTTAGGTCAGGGGGGAAGGGAGGTAGGGGTAAGGCCAGGGAGGGGAAGAAGGTGGGGGGGGGGGTGAAATCAGGGAGGGGAGAGGGAGGTGGGGTGTGAGTTCATGAAGGGGGAGAAGGTGGGGGGGAGTAAGGTCAGGGAGGGGAAAGTGGGAGGCTGACCTTAACCCCCACCTTCTTCCCCTCCCTGATTTCACCCTCACCTGCCCCTCCATGACCTAACCCCCACCTCCTCCCTCCCTGACCTCACCTTCTCACCCTCCCTGACCTAACCCCCACCTTCTTCCCCCCTCCCTGGTCTCACCCCCCCCCCCTACCTTCTCCTCCTCCCTGACCTTACTCCCACCTCCCCTCTCCCTGACCTCACGACCAGCACCTCCTGACCCCTCACCACCTCCATGACCTTACCCCTCCCTGCTCTCTCCACCACCTCCACCTCCCCGACCTAACCCCCACCTTCTCCCCCTCCCTGACCTCTCCACCTCCCTGACCTAGCCACAGCATCCCCCCAACCCTGTCTTCCTGACCACCCACCTTTCCCCACATCTTCCCCTTCCTGATCTCACCTCAACCTTCCCCTGGTCTGACCTCACACCCATCTCCCGTTCCTTTCCCTCTCTTCCCTTTCCCCACCACCTACTTTCTCCTCTCTACTGTAGCGAGTAATCCTTATACTCGCTCCATTATCTTAATGGCATAACTAATTAGCACTAACTACACAAGCTATAATCCTATCCCTAATTACAGGTAACAGTTCTCACATCCTCCTATCCTGGTAGAGAAAGGTGAGGGGTAGTCACCAAATATAAGGAAGCGATATGAGAATAGACAACAGTACAATTTCCAGTCAAGAATGTAGCACTCGGCATAGGCAGTTCTAATTGTCTCCAAGATGCAGCTTCGACACAGAACAGACAGCAGACTAGGACCGCATCGAGCTACAACGCTCTCCCACATAGAGCTCTGTGACTCCAGCCATACTCGACTCTCTGCTCTGCTCCAAGCTCCGTCTCAACATCTACGACACTGCTGTATCCAGGACTACTAAATAAATATGAAACTCACTAAACACTGTGTATCTAATCTACCCAACAACGTAACATAATTGTACGTTACACTACCATAACCTAATTCTTACTTTTTAAAATTTTAAGCAATAACTGTATCTATCAGTCTATAAGTATTTAAGTCTATATTTTTCTTTCCTTGGAGTCCAGTTTGAGTAGAATGTGTGAATTTTAGCTCATGCTAGACAATTGGGTGTGAAATAAACTATGGTGTGCTTTCCGATACAGTTTTTAGGAAGTTTTCAATGATCTGTCAGCATGGTCGGAGCCGGTCGGCCTAGCGGACAGCACGCCGGACTTGTGATCCTGTGGTCCTAGGTTCGATCCCAGGCGCCGGCGAGAAACACTGGACAGAGTTTCTTTCATCCTATGCCCCCTGTTACCTAGCAGTACAATAGGTACTTGGGTGTTAGTCAGCTGTCACGGGCTGCTTCCTGGGGGTGGAGGCCTGGTCGAGGACCGGGCCACGGGGACACTAAAAACCCCCGAAATCATCTCAAGATAACATCTCAACAAGATCAGATTGTGTAAGGCTCTTACTGACAAAATATCTGCAAATGGTCTACTCTTGTGGCACCTCAAGTCAGAATCTTTTGAGGTTTTGCTCAAGACCCATCCCCAGTTGCTGTCTTGGCCTCCAAGCATTCACCTTCCCCACCTCTGGCTTCAAGTTCTAAGCAACTTCAGTCCCATCTCGCACATGAACTGGCTAGTGTGGGTTAAGAGATTGAGAGTTTCATTACTCTTGCCTAAGCATTTGCTTTGTCCAGGGCCTTCACATCCACCCTCTTCCAGGTAAAAATTATGTTTTTTTTTTCCCACCTCAAGGAGAACTGGGGTGTTTCCCATGGAGCTGGGTTCTGTTCCTTGGCAACAAGTTAGCCTCCCAACTTGAAGGTCAGCCCTTAATCAACACTGGTGTGCACTGAGATTGGTCTAGTTCTCTAGTGAAGGGTCCAATCTAGTTTTCATGATGGACTTCCTAGGTTTTTATTTTAAAGTTGGATGGCACATACCTTATATCTCTAGGTAGCCAGTAGGGAGTCTGTATCACCCTTCTCAGTTCAAGTATGATGCCTCTTCTTGCACTGTGCCCTCTTTACAGTGTTGATGGATTGATCCTACTCAGGTTTTCCCAGTCTCATCTCTCCACTACTCAGGCTTGGCAAGATCTGTAGTTATATGTGCAGGATACATGCTTCTAAACTGGATCCTGTGCTTTTGGGCGTTTGAATTTATCTTCTAGCACTTAATCAACTCTTTAACACTATGAAAAGAATTTCCTTCTCACTCTCTCTCCACTACCATAACTATGCATTTGTCTACATTTTACCAATAAACTACCAACTAATCTAGTCTCTGCTAAAGGCTTGTCCTCGTCTGCAAGTATCAAATTTTACATCTTCAAACTACTCCCATCATATGCTAGGCTCACATTCTTACCCTCATCTTCCTCATAACCCCAACCATTTACATTGAACCAACTAAGGTAATATCACACCCACTATGTTCCTCTATATTCATATACCATCATTTAACCAATGTTCTTTTTCCCAATCATCTGGCATACTACAAATTTGTTATGTCTTCTGGCAAATCTCTCCGTATCTGCTCCATTACTTATTCTCTACTATATTTAATAATTCCTGTATATACCCGACTAAAATGTATATGTATATCTCTCAGCCTGTTTGGTAATATGTTTATTGTTTATGATGTGTCTGTATATGTATGAACACGTTGTACTGAACGGCGTGAGAATAGCTCGAGCTACCTCATCCCTTTGTGTGTATTTTACCTCAATAAACTTATTTCAATTCAATTCTAGCATATATCCCACAATTATTGGATTTTGTGTATCTGAGAAATTTTGTGTTTAGTTTATTCAAGTGCAGTGATTAGTACCCCACTGAAGAAGTCTGAATTCTCATCCAGGCTTGAATTACTGCCTTTTTAGGAGGCTATATTGTGTATGTACAGTAAGGACGAGAATATTCTCACCCCATATATTGCCCCCTATGATGTGGGAAGCCATTTCTCGTGAGGTTTCTTATACATTCCCTCAGAACATGCAAGAAAACCTTACAGCAAGAAATTCGTTCATCTATCAATTTTAGAGACGCTGCAAACCTCTTTGGTATTCTTAACAAAACATACAATGTATCCTCATATCACTAAAACTCATTTCCTTGTGGTCTCTTGCTCCGAGATCACTATTGACTCCTTCTCTACTCAATGATCAACTCATCTTATCAACCTTTAGACTTCTACCTCTTGGATCCTTATAAGGCAGCATCATCCATTTAATTAAATATAGCAGTATCATATGATCAGACAAATTTCCGTAAAAAAATTATGCTATCAAAGATTACTTTCATTTGATTTCTTCCTCAAGTGCAATTCATGATAACTGTACAACCAATTACATTACATATACCTGTAGTACAATATATAATAACAATATACAGCATACTTACAAATAGTGTATAGTACTTACACAGCAAAAATGGCTTTCTCAGTGAGACCTAAGAGGCAGGATGCCACAGCTCCAACAAAAATGAAAAGTCCAAAGAACTGATGGAGAGGCAGGTATGCAGCTCGCACAGATGGCCGTAAACCAGGGAAGAGAAATGTCAACAAGCCCACCAGCCACTGAAAGATATTTTTTTCTTGAAGTGCTTTATTTTTAATTCCAATAGTCACAAAAATCCTTTAATAGAGAAATGTGATATGAAAAGATAATTTTTGCTTATGCTATGTTTTTAATGTGATTTATATAGATTGACATAATAAACATGGCTGCAGACATGTCAGGACAAATGAATTCTTTAGTTTGGAATACATTATCAAAGGCAACAAATGTATAATAGAAAACAGGGGGTAGAAATAGCCTAAGCTACTCTATCCCTTTGAGATGTATTTCTTGCTTATCTCAATAAACATACTTGAACTTGAACTTGAATAGAAATCAAAATTCAGAAGTTCTTTATTCAAAAGATAGAAAACAAAATTCAGTCTGACATGAAGGGAAACCTCTACAGATGGCTCTTGAGATTGAACATGTAAGATGTTGAGCAAAACACAAGGTGGTAGTACATTCCACAGGATGCCTGTGGAATGAGAAAGACAAGAGATTCTTGGACTGACAAAAAGACACAACTTTGAGAAGAGTTAGATTCAGATTCTTTATTCACATACTTTCTGTACTACAGAACAGTATTTGTAATAAATAAATAATCTGAATCTGCTCATAATTACTGTACTCTTTTTGTTTTTCAAGTTTAAACATTTAACTTTGTCTTTTTTGTTATTAAACAGGCATCCTGATGAACAGACTACTATCCTGAGTTTTGCTCAACACTCTTCACCTTAATAGTAACGGAAATTAAACAAAAAAATTATGACTATCTGAAGGCACTTGCTCACCTATCAATTATACTCAAAATTTCCTTGCCAGCCTGAATGTGTTCTCCAAGCTGTAGTTCAAGTGAATTAGCACAAGGAGTGGAGTGCACTGCCTATTTTTTATTCACTAGGCAACAGTGTGGCTTATTTACTTCACTAGGCAACAGTGTGGCTTTGCCAAAAATTGTACTCCAATCCTCTGGGCTTCAATACCAACTTCATTATATGTACTGCATGCAGAAGATGCTAAGTCAGTTTTGGTCTAGTTTGGCAGTGGCCTGATGGTCTCCTCACCCTTCTTTTCCTTGTCTGTGTGGTGTTTTCACCATGTGTAGTTTTGATCGAGACTCAGAACAGATCTCTTTTTTTTTTCTGGATGCCAGATCAGGAGTCACTCTGTGCACGTCTCTTGCTTAGGTGGGTTTTTCATTGGAAACTCCGTGAGATACTCACTTGGATACCACAAGCTTTAAATACCATACCAGGCTCTTTCGAACCACGAGAGCCTACTGGAGACCAGTACCAGAATTTGGTCCAAGTTTGTATGGCATTGGGTAAGCTTACCCGGTACCAGTTTCCTCTGGAGTTACTGGCTGCTCCTCTCATTCTCCCATGGTAAACCCTTCTTTTTTTGTATTCCATGGTGAGTTACCTCAGGAAGTCACTGAGGGAAGCCCTTCCAGAAATCAAGCATTGAATGTAATGAATAGCTTCTTTCTGGTGGGTCTCTACACAACCTGTCCTCTTACAAAGAACGCCGCATTTCGATTGTATGCATTACACAAGGCCAAAAATTGTCATATAGAAACAGAAAGCAGCTCGTGAAAGTGATGTACTGTCCCATTTTCTGTTTTGGGTCCTCTGATAGGTTAGGAGAGGACACTTTAATTTGACTATTTTCTTGATGTTGGGAAACATTAGGATAATTGCTCTCCAGTGCCACTAGCCCTGCTATCTTCCGCCATTTGGGTTGGATGGTACATGTCTGACTGGGGCAGCCAGCTGCGGTCTAAGTTTACCTAAGGGCCACTATCTCACAAGTGGCCTCAATGAGGACAGGAAGCTGGCAGCTTGTCAAAGGTCCCTCCGTCCCCCCCTCGTATTGTTCTGATGATTTTGTCAAGCTGGATTATAAAATTCAAACATGTTTTGTCCTTTACAGCTTCAGTGGGTAGGCAGTTCCATTGGTTTATAACTATGGAAAAAGCATCTCCTGTTCTCTGTCCTACATTGTGGCTTGTTGAGCTTGAAACCATTGCTCCTTGTTTGTGTTACATCTAACCTTTTGAAGTTGTTTGGATCAAGATCCTCCAAAGTGTTCAGTATTTTAAGGGTTTGACAAGATCAGCCCTGCCATGTCTGGTTTGCAGTGTTGTTAGTACTGTGGCTCTCAACTGTTCCTGGTATGAGAGTCTATTTAGTTCTGGAATGATTTTTGTTGCCCGGTGTTGAATGTTCTCCAGAACAGCTAGGTCTTTTTGAAGGTGAGGTCTCCATGCTTGGATACAACAAGCCAAGTGATGCTAGGGCTTCCATCTGGTAGTGAGCAACTGTTACTAATTAGCCGTTTGGTTTGCATATGTACAAAGTTTGCATCATGTATACCCATATTTTCAATGCAGTTAACAGTTTTGGGGCACACTACCTTTCTGATGGTTGTTTTTGCCCTGGATTGATCTATGTACTTTCAGACTCATCCTTGCCTCTATAGAGGGAGCCAAATTCTAACACTGGTCTCCAATAATAATAATAATAATAATAATAATAATTTTTATTTAGGCAAAGGTACATACATAAAGAGATTTTACAAAGTTTGTTGGCTTTATAGGCACTCATGATTCAAAAGAACCTGGTGGGGTGCCAAAGGGTTGGGGAATCCAGGCGAGTTGCTTGGGAAGTCACTAAAGGGACCCATTGGGAAAAAAAGGTTTTTCATTAAATTCAATCCTGGATTTTTGAGGAGATTCTCAGTCCTTTAGTCTTGCAAAAGCTAACAAAGCCTTCTATCAAACCATACACTATGTACTCATGTTTGACATGAGATGGAACTGTCTAAAGCCTTTTCCCGTGTGAGAGGTGGTCTCGGAGGTCATTTGCAAGCTTCCACCAACAACCAGAATGGGTAAAATTAGGGGATCATATGATAGACAGAGACATCAGTATCCTTATAAGGAAGAGTGGACCAATATATGAAAGAGGATAAGTGGAGGGTTTAAAAACCTTGAAATTTGAAAGACTTGTTATGATCTGAGCTTGTGGAGTAACTTCTGCTGTGGTGACCCCAAAATGAGAAAATTCCACAAGTGAGCAAAGCATCTTAAACAAAATCAGCTGCTGATAAGGAAAATTTAATTATTTTATCATTATCATTTGGTAACAAGCTACAGGCGTAATGTGAAAATTCTCATGCTGCAATTAATAATCAGAAATCAAACATACCTGACATGAAAATAAAATGACTGTTATGAGGCCAATCCATGAGTGCAGACTGTACATGTTGGGAATTGACCTGGCATTGTGAAAGTTAAACACAGCAACAAGTCCAACAATGGATAAAATGAAGGCACCAAGTTGTATCATCATGTGCAAGATCTTGAGCTTCTTTTTCTTTTCAGAACGAAAGCCTCTGTAGATTAAAGCCCCTGGAATATTTGGATACAGTTATGATAATGTGAGAAACTTATGCACATATTACATTAAATAATGTCAGGATGGTCAACTGGCAAGGTCTCTGACAAGGTTACGAGCAGAAACACTATGCAGAAATATCCTTTAATTGAAGACTTCACCTTGGGATAAGCTCTATCATAAATTTCTATAAATCTTTCTTGAAATATATACACCACGATAACAAATTTACTTTCATATACAGTACTGATCCCTGTAAATATTGTTACAAATTCACCCACCAAATTTCTCCTCCAATATTCGTATTTCTTGAGAAAAATTTGCATCCTAGAAGGGAACGTAGTGAAATTTGGAATGTCTGTTCATCATATAAATTTCCATTAATTAAAAATTGCAATTTGGCAGATCTTGCCATTTTCTTTGTATTATTCAAAACAATGCACTAATATTTCACAAATGTTTAAGCTTTTGCTGTAAAATAAATTGCACAAACAAATTTGTTCATGTATCACTTTTCTGAGGCATTCAGACATACTCTGAGGGCAGGCATAGTGGATGTATTTTTCCTTGTGTGACGTGTAGTCTGACATCTTGTTACTAAAACATTTCCACTCTTTTTCTTATGATACTGTACATCATTACAGTGCTGTACTTGCAAGTTGAAACCATGTTGTGTGGCAAGAGTACACCTGACAGGTGTAAGAACTTCATTACCGTGAATAATGAGGCAGTTATTAGAAAAAAACATGATCATGTCTGGGTTAGAGAGCAACTGGCAGAGGTGCATGGTATTAATAGTAGTGAAGAAGCTTACTACAATACCATAGTGCTTGAATGAAGGTGAAGAAAAGACCCAATATATATATAAATACTGTATACAGGTATTAAAGAAAAAAATTGGATGTAACCTATATCCTTTCTCATGGTACTGTATACAATGTTCTGCATAATATTGTATACAGTTCTTTGAGAAGTAAGTAAGTAATTATCAAAAGAAGGCACCAAACCGGGAAGGCTATGTAGCACCATCAAATACGCAAAATAATCAGAGGGCGCTAAATATCACCAAGGATGCCAATACGAGAACAAAAACGCATAAGGCGAACGAGTTCTTTGAGAAAGGATGTAGGTTACATTCAAAAATTTGTTTTTTAATATATTTATACATATACAGTACTGTACTGGGTTTCCATCAACTTCATTGGTACTAGTGCTATTTGACAAAAGCAAAGGAAGCAGTTCACTTAGTTTCTGAATAAAGTGGGGAGCAGTGGTGGGTAAAGTGACAAAAACATTGAAACCTATGCATCAGGATTTGGAAGATGATGTTTGCCAATGATTTATACAGCCTAGGGCTGGCTGTTAGTGCTTACCTATCATGATGAATAAGTGAGATCTAGCTCCTTATGCCTCACCTCTTAACCATTTACAATTGATGCACTAATTACCTTTCCCAACATTAATGTTTTAATCATACTTTATATTATTGTTGTAGATGGAATTGCCTTCAACAATCTCTTCCTTCAATTTATTCATTGACAATAAATGCATTGGTAGAAATGCATGCCACTTGCCAACCACCAATATAGGGAATGAGAACTTTCTAACATCTCCAACTCAATTGCATGTCCAGCTTTTACTGATGTCCTTTTGTCCCACCCCTCTTGAATTTAATTAGGTTTCCTTTGTCCACTTTGTCTATACAGTACCTCTTAAGACCTAGTATGTAGTTATCATATCCGCTGTTTCTTCTCTCCTCTAAGGTTGTGAGGCTGTTTTCTTAACCTGCCCCCATAGATGATGCCTCTCAATTCTAGTTCCAAACCTCTGAACTTTCTCAAGTCTCTGTTTATGCTTCACAGGGTGTGTTCCAGGTCTCAGGAATTCTTCCCCATCAATTTTATTGACTCCTGTTACTATTTTGTACGTAGTGATCATATCGACTTTTTTTTCTTCTATCTTCTAGTTTTGTCATATTTAACGGTCTAACCTATCCTCGTAGCTCTTGTCTTTTAGTTCTGGAAGCCATTAAGATGCATGTCTGTGCACCTTTTCCAGTTTGTTGATGTGCTTCTTAAGATATGGGCACCATACAATTGCTGCATATTCCAGCTTTGGTCTAACAAAAGTCGTATTCAAAGATGACCTTTGTTCACATTCGCCCAAATGTCGAATGTGAATGCATAGGAAGTTCTGTTAACAGCAAACAAAATGTATTTGTTTCATAAATAATAATTATCTATTTTCATGTAATGGTAACTAGATATTCTACAGACCTGTATACATCACAAAACGTATCATTAACTTCCAACTAACAAATCTGTAAATTATATCACGCATATTTCTAGTCAACTTTCATTGAATAAGATAAATACTCACCATTTGCATACAGGAAGACCATTCCAAGTGTCATCAAAAATGGATGCCAGTTGAACTGCAAATCAGGGTCGCTGAACCATGCAAAGCCTTTACGAAAATATCCACACCAAACCCCTACCAGCACTACAGACAGAATACCTAAGGAGAGGAAGTCATGTAATGCAGACAATAGTGCTCATAGTGAGGTCCCAAATGTACTTGAAAATTATGAAGTCTTTCAATACTTTATACTGGAATTACATATGCAGTACTGTACAGGATTCATAGAGTACGTGTTCTCTGAAAATAATTACAGTAAATATAAAAAGTTTAACTAACAAAAGCACTATACAGCTAAACTAATGCTACTACAGTACTACTATAAGCAAAATTGATTATTTACACTTTTGTACATATAAATTGCTCCAATCCAATAATAAGCTACAATATTGTACAGTACTGATTTCATAATATTAACTATAAATGTACAAATATTCTGCTAAATTGAATACAAAATAATTCTTAATTAAGACCAAAATATGTGCATAATACACATATTATCAAAATATGCTATTAATTACCAGCAGATCTGAATAATGAAGATAACTTACCTAAAACTTGAGAAAGTGTAAAGAGCTTTGTGAAAAATGGAACGTGCTGTGCCTCATTCTCCATCTCGTCCAGTGTTCCTCGACCAATGAGAGAGCCTTCTTCTCCGGTTTCCCAGTCGCGCCTACAAAATGTAAGAAACATCAGCAAAATTTAAACAAAAATTCAATAACAAAATTTTTTTTTTTTAAATAAATCTTAAAACAAATGTTGATACTGTACAAAATCACAATTTCCTGTACCTCTTCAATTTAGTTTAAGAATGTTCATTTAATTTTTAAAATATACTGTATATATGTTTAAAATAACCACCCACCAGGGCAAAAGAACAGATCCCCCGCCTCCAGCTTGAAGCTCTCCAACCCTACTGCCATGGGTGAGAGCCAACAAAAACACAGCCTTCAGAAAGATATCAAGCGCTACAGGGAAGCTGCAAATCAAGGCGAGGAGAAAGAGAGCAAAACCCGGTCCAGAGACCAGGATGGCTCAGGAGGAGCACGAGCTGGCTGGAGGTGACAAAACACACAAAACAACTTGTAGACCAGTGCCAAGGAGTTATCAGTGTGAACGCAAGCAACAGTGGCTCTGCCATTGCCGAATGATACAGTGACAGTACAGTATCAGGCATGCAACGCCAATCAAGAAACAACCAAGACTAAATGGACAGGATAACCCTGACAAACCTGGTTGATGGGGTTCTTGGAGTTCTTCTACTCCCCAAGCCCGGCCCGAGGCCAGGCTTGACTTGGGAGACCTTAGTCCACCAGGCCCTTGGGCTTGGAGTGGCCCGCAGGCCCACATACCCACCACAGCCCAGTTGGTCTGGAATGTCTTTTAGAAAACAGCCTAGTTTTCTCTTGAAGATGTCCACGGTTGTTCCGGCAATATTTCTGATGCTTGCTGGGAGGACGTTGAACAGACGCGGACCTCTGATGTTTATACAGTGCTCTCTGATTGTGCCTATGGCACCTCTGCTCTTCACTGGTTTTATTCTGCATTTTCTTCCTGACTGACTGACAAAGACTGAAGAAAGACAACAAAGAAGCAGATAGTGGCAAAATGAGTGCCAGACAACTTCATACTGCAACACAGCAAATAATCAAGCAAAATAATGTGCCAGATGTGCACATTAAGTTATGTACAAAATAATTGTGCCAGATGTGCAAAATGAGGGCCAGACAACTTCATACTGCCACCTCAAAGCAAATAATAAAAATTTTAACATAGCAAGTCTAATTTACCAAGAAATTAATGATAATTACTGTATATTCAAGCCTTTTTTCTTGTAAACCATTAACCCTACATAGAACATGCTAAGGAGCATTTTTTAGAGAATTAAATGTCCTTTCAAAAGGTATTTGTTTCCTATATACTGTAGTTAACACTGACAGGAAATGAGATTTTGATAAAATCACATTTTTGGCATCATTTTTGAAGACAGTGGCTGAATTTCACTTCTGAGTGAAAAACATAGCATAGAATAAGGACTCATCTTATAAAGGGATCAACATGGTTTCTAGTATTTAGGGAATTTTTCTGAATTCAAATACTAAATGAATATCTCAGAATATACCTGCACGTATCAGATTCACAATATTTTGTGACAGAAAATACTGAAACTTCCCTGTACTGTGAGATCAACCCTTTCAAAATTGCTATCCCTCAAACCCTTTCTCTACCACCCACTGGACAGGATGACTGTATCCCTTCCTCTGCCACATACTGGATGAGTGTAACTGTACCTGGATGAGGTTCTGGAAGTTCTTCTACTCCCCAACTCTGGCCTGAGGCCAGGCTTGACTTATGAGAGCTTGTTCCAACAGGCTGTTGTTTGGAGCAGCCCACAGGCCCACTACATATCCTGGTCTGTCATTTCTTGCAGAAAACAGTCCAGTTTTTCTTGAAGACTTCTATGGAACTTCTCGGCAATTTTACATCCCAAATACACTAATCTTAAAATTCTACTTTATTTAATAAACATGCACTCTAAAATAAAAATGGAACAATATTAGGCTAGTTTAGCTGCAAAACTAGAAATGTGGTCAGGTTGTCCTGCTCTGTGTTGATACTCTACAGGATGTAAAGGGTGTTGAGCCTTGGCTGATAATTGCTGCTTACACCAGCCTGGGAAGAAGTTTCATCAAAATACAAATTGATAAGTTAAAATTTTATACAGCAAAAATAAAAAGCTGGTTCTCTTGTTTATTTTCCCTAATCTTATCTAACTATATTTCACATAATACTAGAATATCAATGATGTAATTTAACTATCACTGAGGTAAATTACTTTGTTGCAATATATAACTGAGTTTATCAAAGCGCAGTAGAAAACTGTTAATTGACCTAACTAGTTTAACTATTCCACCAACGTATGTTATTCACACCTCTGGTGGGCATGTTGGCACACTTATAACCCAACCTGCAATATAATCGAGTTATTGGCACAAAAGAAATTGGATCCAAATCTTAGTGTTATACCACAAAGCTTTCTTTTATTTGTTGGTGTAAATTTGCAGGTCCGGAGTGTTCAGTCTTCTGTATCTTTGTTAAGACTTTCTTAGCCCTCTTGACGGGCTGGAACACTGTATTTTATAGTTAACTATGATGAAGAACAATGGTGAGGTGAAGAGCAGCAGCTCTGCTGGTAGTTGGGCATCCTTTGTGGTCACTACCTTACCTCACTTTACACTCTACTTATGTACAGTCTTGTAAGTTTATATCTATCTAAACTAACACAAGCATCACTACTTTAGTGCTATGCCTGTAACAGTTATTAAGAACCTGAGTTATGTCCCGACGAGGCAATGTTTTAATCCAAGACACACCAGTGCCGTGCGCCCCAGCTCATGTACACACTATGCGTTATATGACAAAGAGTGCTGGAAGACGGGACACCACCAGCGTAGCTCTCATCCTGTAACTACACTTAGGTAATTATAAATGCCACCCCACACACCACCCGAGGCCTGTTCTCTTATGAAATTTAATATTTAATTAAGATGATCTAATTTATTCCTTGTTAACAGCTAAATGCCTAAATTAATATTCATATTAGACTGTTCTCATAATGTTTAGGGCGCTAATTCGAAGCGAAGGTTAGTTAATTTATTATGCACCTCATACTAATCCTGTGGGCGGTAGTGGAAAGGGTTACAGGGGCACAAACCGGGCTCAGGGACTGACCCCAAAATTCATTTAGCTAAGCAAATTGCAATCTTTATTAACTAGTTGCAAAATTAAATGTATATTGCTACATCAACAGTAGATTCGAGGCCGACCATGTTCACTGTGTGACGCCATATGACGTCACAATATGCAGAATCGGCTTTTCTTTTCTTAAAGGCAAGAGACCTCATGGCATATATGGTCTATAAATATCAGCATATCGACATGAGGTCTGGCTAAAAATAACAAAGTACGAACCACGTGGTTCTTTGCTCTCAGTGCATTCACTAGAACACTATATTGATGAATGTGAAACCGTAAAGGACTTTAGACCTCCTAGCCTCTTGTACCACCAACTGTGTAACTATTTTATTGACTCAGGTGTTCTGGACGACAATTTACCCAAAATTTGCTTGTCCATTTTAAAGAATGAAGAACAATTTTTATTTATGTTACTTCTAAGCTGTATCACTTATGAACCCATCCCTGCCCTTGTGTGGCAGTGCACAATAGAAAGTTGTTTTCACGTATCCATACATTAAAACATTGATTGTAACCATGATATATATGTGCTTCAGCCTACAGTTTAGACCTATTGTCTTATATATGACCCTCTGTCCTGCGTGACAGTGAATACTAGCATTATCCTCACTTTAATAAGACTATCAAAATCCTCAGATTAGGCAAAATTGTAATTAATTTTGTCAATAAAGATGTTAATAATAATCAGTGACATTCATATATGATATATTTCCTATACGATAATTTACAGAACAGTGGAAATATTCCACAACAAATTGCTACCCATGTGCCTGTAGCCCTCCCACCACCACCACCACCACCACCCACTGTGTGGATGTAGGGTGCACCTTCCACTACCACCCACTGTGTGGGCGTAGGGTGCACCTTCCACTACCACCCACTGTGTGGGCGTAGGGTGCACCTTCCACTACCACCCACTGTGTGGGCGTGGGGTGCACCTTCCACTACCACCCACTAAAGATACACAGATTTACGTACGCCCTACATAAAGTATTAGATGTGTCTTTTACATAGTGTCATTAATGTACATTCACAAAGGTAAAAAAAAAAAAAAAAAAAAAAAAAAAAAAAAAAAAAAAAAAATAAACTACCACCCACTGTGTGGGCGTAGGGTGCACCTTCCACTACCACCCACTGTGTGGGCGTAGGGTGCACCTTCCACTACCACCCACTGTGTGGGCGTAGGGTGCACCTTCCACTACCACCCACTGTGTGGGCGTAGGGTGCACCTTCCACTACCACCCACTGTGTGGATGTAGGGTGCACCTTCCACTACCACCCACTGTGTGGGCGTAGGGTGCACCTTCCACTACCACCCACTGTGTGGGCGTGGGGTGGACGATTTAAAAATTTGAACCCAAAGTAAATAGATCAACACCAGTTATTAATTCAGTTTAAAACAAAACTGAGGCTCAGTACTTGAACCCTTGGTGGAGGTTTTGCTCACTCTGCTACAGCCCATTGAATGGGCATTTGGCTTTAATAAAATTGATTACATTGAACTAAGACTAAACACACTGTTGACGAAAATATTAACCAGCTAAAATAATTGCTGACCCACTACGCTGACACACGCATATAACCTTTCCACCAGGGCACTATATATTTTGTCAATACACTAGCATCACTCCAAATAGCATTATGATATATATACATAAGTATTTCCATTACTCAATTATGTATATCCTTATACTGTACAACATTTGGTTTGCTTTTCTAATTTTGTGAGAAAGAGTTGAGGTGACTTCCGCTTCCGACCATCCTACCGTGGTCGTAGTAATTTAATAGTAATTACGCGACATTAAGTAGTCATTAGGAACATAATAGGTTAAGATAGGAGTGAAGACGTGTTAATGAGCCATGCTAGTGAGCGGGACTTACCTTACTTGCTTAGGGGACATCAACATGTTGGTGAGT